TACTTCTTCCTTTCTTACCAAAGTGAGAACACACACACCTCTTAATATACTTAACAGAATATGACAGATACACTCTAGGTTAATGACAATCAAAACTAATTTTAATAATGTCATATGGACTTGCATTGATGAAATGGCTATTCTCTTGGTAGATACTTGGGACTCTCCATTATCTCTGTACATATGTCCTTTGGTGGTTTTATTTTGTGTTCTCTGGAGAGTACTCTTAAAAGGATAAGTCTTCAGGTTAAAGGATTACCACTGAAAGCACTAGGGAGTCACATGTGCATCGGTAACATGCAAGGCATGATGTTCGCATTGTCCCTGAAGTGGAAGGATCCACTATAAATGTGGGCAGCACCATGCCCTGGGCTGGAGCCCTGACCTGAACAAAAAGGAGGAAATGCTTCCTGACCACAGTGCAGCATGACAGCTGCCTCAAGCTTCTGCTGCTGTGCCCTCCCCACAATGATGGACTGCACCCTCAAACTGAATAGAAATATCCCTTTTTAGGCTGCTTTTATCAGGTGTCTTGTCATGAAGATGGCCAGTATGTAAAAATCGTGGAGGTGAGTGGGTGAAGTATATGATGTGCCCATGAGGAGCATACACTTAACACAGTGCGTGTGTGGCGTTAGGACAACTTCATGAGTCTGTCTCTTACAGTGGGTCTGGGTTCTGGGAACCCTTTGGGGGTCACATCAAATATCCTGCATATCAGATATTTACAATTCTTATGTGGCAAAATGACAGTTATGAAGTACCAATGAAAGTGAGGGGCTGGAGAGATGGCTGCTCTTCCAGAGGTCCTGAGTTCAATTCCCAGCACCCACATGGTGGCTCACAACCACCTGTAATGAGATCTGGTGCCCTCTTCTGGCCGAGGCAGAATAAATGCAGTCATAAAAAATAATTTTATGGTCAGGGCACAACGGCTTTACGAAGGCTGAGACCCTGCACTAAGCCACCTCACTGGCCTAGCGTCAGCTTTTTGCCTGACTGGTTACAGCCTTGTCAGTCAGTGTTTGTAACCTGCCTTTTACTAGGGTATTTCATTCCTGGTTGTCCTTGGTCTTTGTCACCTGGGACACTGCACCTTTTTGTCAATTCCTCTTTTGTTTCTCAAGCATTTGTTTATGTCTTTAAACATTTTTTCACTTTGTGATTTTATTTGGGATTCTAAATATGCAGGCATTGATTTTTTTGTTTTTTCTCTGACTTGTCCTCATGTCTTCGGCCTCTGTTGCTTTGTTTCCAGCATGGTCTTTAGTTCTCTGATGCTTTTTTTTTTTTCCTTTCTATTATCTTCAAAGATGTGTTGTTTTTAATCATATGTATGTGTGAGTGTGTGCATGAGTGTGGGTGCTGCAACCCAGAGGTGTTGGACTTCCCCTGGAGCTGGAGTTACAGGTGGTTGTGAATCATAAATGTGGCTGCTGGGAACTGAACTCCATCCTCTGGAAGAGTAGCACGGGAGTAGTAGGGAGGAACCCTAACTGCTAGCCAGCTAGCTCTCTGGCCCTTCCTTTCTAAATTCAGATGTTTCCCTGTGATGAGCAGTGGGCGGGCAGCTATCACACGGGCAATACAGTTTTGGAACAGGACTAGAGGCTTGCTATTCACCTTGCCACTAACCTCCCGGGATCTGAGGAAACCTAAGACTACCCTCGTTTGGAAGTCTCCATGATTGCAGAACACATCACAGGTGAGATGACTTTCATGCAGTAACAACTGAGGAGTCTCTAACTTTGTTTTCAGAATTCGGGGATTCCCTGGCTCCAATCTCAGCCTTTCCGAGACACCTTCAGATGATGGCATTTGTAGGTTTCTCAAAGGGATAGGATGTTCTCATTAGGAGATCCCACTACACAGCCTATTGGTGGGTGTGTTCTTCAGTCAAATAAATTGGCACATTAGGGACCTGGCCAGTTGTCCTGCTCAATTCCATTTTCAGAAACCCTGACTAGGTGGGATTTCTGAAAGCTGTGGAGTAGAAGAAGGGTTTAGAATCCTGCTGTCTTTCATGGCACTCACCTGGACCTGCCAAGTACCCAGCTGGTCCTCAGCCAACACTATCCTGAGAGAAACTACAGACAATGTAAGAGGAGCTAAGCTTAAAGGACTTCTCCAGACAGACAAGGGGATGGTGTGTGAGATCCGCTGTGCAGAAGGGACTTCCTACCACCATCCTGCCTGTCACTGAGCTGTCTGTCCATTTCTGATGTGGTGTCACAGTGCCACCTCTTGGACGTAAACTGAAAAACACGAGTTTTTAAAGTTCCTAATCACATATACTTAAACAGTTTGAATGTGGAGTCATGGCAGGTCCTAAATACTCATATTCTATGATAGTTAAGGAATTTTTAAAACCAAATCCTTGCAAACTTGAGCTAGAGCGCTGTAGTTCACAGCATGGACAGCCTTCTAAAACTCCTGCCTTTGGCTTTTTGGAGCCTTAAACATTGCAAAGGTCCCACTTGGGTTTCCTGGTTATCTCTATCCTCTAGTCAAAGGAAGGCTGTGGGATGGTCCATAGAAACCAGAAGTCCGAAGTGTGCCCCTGCCTCCTGAGTAGAAAGAGCCCATTTCTTCCTTTCCCAAGTCCTGCTCATGTATGGAGGAGAACTCAAGTTATTACCACAGTTTTGATGGAGAGACTCTCTTCTGGTGGAAGCGAGGGGTGACAGATGCAGGGCTACGGTACAGCATCACCCTGACATTAGTCCTCAGTTATCTCAGACCTCATTTATAGCTGTGGCAAAGCTAGAGTCCCCAGAATAGCACAGTGTAACAGGTCATTCCATAGACTGCCAGTATTTGTTACTCAGACTTAACTGGGGGTGGATCAGGCTAGAATGGTACTACCTGAAAAAGGCTAACAGATAGTGGATCTTGTGTCCTTGTTCATGGCTCTACTTCAGTATTCCTGAGGTGAGATCCAACCCTGGACCCAGCTGAAGAGAGCTGCCTAACCAGTCTCTAGCAGGTCAAGGTTCCTATCAGTGTTGACGGAAGTGGTTAGACTGCTGATCACCACATTTGCAGAGGAAGAAGGACCCTCTCCATCTAGAATACAGCACCTGGACCAGTTTCCGATGGTGCTGCTACGATGTATCTTTTGTTTTGTTTACTTTTTTATTTGGAGGTAGTAGAAAGAAAATTTTTCTCCATCTGTCAGTCCCATTGGACCAGTTTTTCTCTGCCCAGAGCCACTTAATGAATAACTACTCTGAGACTTAATATCAATTACAAATGTTTAGCCAGTTGCTTAGGCTTCTTATTGGCTAGCTCTCTCAATTATTAACCCATTATTATTAATCTGTGTATCTTCACATGGCTTTCTCTTACCGGATTATGCCCAGGTATCCTACCTCCCCAGTGGCTACATGGTGTCTCCGACTCCACCTATCACCTCTCTCTGTCCTTGTTCAGGTTTCCCACCTGGCTAAATTCTGCCTATCCATTGGCTAAAACAGCTTTATTCATCAACCAGTAACAGTAACACATATTTGTAGCACACAGAAGGACCTCCCACATCTTTAGCCCAAGTTTGACTACAACTTACTACACAGCCCAGGTTGGCCTTGAACTTCAATTCTCCTGCCTCAGCCTCCCCGAAGGAAGTAGGATTATAGGCCTGTGCCAACACACTCGGCTGTGATACATCTTTTTTGTTAGAAAATAATTTTTAATCTGGCAGTAGTGTTGCATACTTTTAATTCTGGCACTTGGGAGGCAAAGGCAGGCAGATCTCTGAATTCTAGGACTGCCAGGGATACACAGAGAAATTGTCTCAAAGAAAGAAAGAAAGAAAGAAAGAAACTACTGTTATATTTCTTTAAAATATTAATAGGCAAAAGCTCCTTGTTAAAATATGCCCACTTAAAGTGAAACAGAGCTGGTGGGTGTTAGACATCTGTAGTCCTAGCACTTAGGGGGGTGAGGTAGGTGAACTTGACCTTAGCATTTTAAAATTAGTGTGGGCAATATAGGTAGACCCCATGTCAGAAAAAAGAGAAAAAAAAAAAAAAAAAAAAAGATTATTGTAGTAAAAACTACTGGTCCCTACCCAGACTCCATTGTTAATTTTTTATTCTGATCTCCATTTCTCTCTACTGGTTTGTTTCAGACTGTGCTGATCCTATCTCTGGCTCTGGGATAGGCCTTAATTGGTCTAAAAATCATTGGTTCAGTTACTCACTTATGGGTTGTTATTTCTTGCCATGAGGGTGGTTTAGACATTCCTGTGATCTGGCTTGGCGTGAGGTAGAAGGGGCTAAACTTCTGGAAAACACCAAGCTCTTCATGGCAACCTCCTTTGCAGAGGATTAGCATGCAGGCGTGGAACCCGGAGCAGGCCACCTGCCTCAGTGAAGGAAGTGCGCCTCGGCATAGCGCTGGCATCACTGCAGAAAGTAGGGCCTTCGTGACATCACAAGGACCTCTGTGACTTCGCTGAGACCCTTGGCGAGCATACTGACACATTCCTTTGACACGTGTTTCTGTTCCATGGTGAGCCATGTAAAATGCCTGTGGTACCTAGTGGTACCAATGTGGGAAAGTTCTCTAGCCCAAACCACACAAAATAACTCAGCAGCAATGCAGTGGAGGGTCTTACAAGACAGGGCATCTGGTTTAAACCAGTGCTGCCCTAAAGAGCTCTGGGCTTTGGGTAAGCTTTCAGTTGCTCTCGTCCACAGCTCCTGAGAATGGATTTTTAGTTCTTTTTCACTAGGGCATTTTTTACAATTGGTATTCCTTGTGGACTTGGTCTGGATGATTATGTTATCGTTACATTCTTTCTCATGTACATCTGCACTGACAAAGACTACACTACAAACCAGCAAAGTAATTTTATATTATTTACTAACGACCAACTTGGCTAGATGCACTGTGCATGTCTGTGTGTAATCCAGCACATGGGTGGCCAGGGCTGTACACCAAGTTCTACACAATGACACCCTGTCTCAAAGAACAAACAACAACCATTGAGTACTGTAACGGAGGTCAAATATACAAAATTTATTATCTTTTCAGCACACACATACACACCATGTGTTATATATCTCGAATGTCTCACCCTGCTGCCCTCAGCTCCAGAGTGCTGGGATTACAGGTGTGCATCACCATGCCCAGTTTGTGCAGTGATGGAGATCAAACCCAAGGCTCCCTGCACAGCAGGACTTGCTACCAACTGAGCTACAACCCAGCTCACAGATGTGATTTCTGATGGGCTTTACAATGGAAAGCACTTCCGGGGAATCTTTATTCTCTTATTTTTAAAATGTGTGTGTGTGTGTGTGTGTGTGTGTGTGTGTGTGTGTGTGTGTGTGTGTGTGTGTGTTTGCGCGCGTGCGCGCATGCGTGAACATATATATGAGTGTGGGTGCCCTCAGATCAGAGGCATTGGATCCCTTGGAACACGCATTATGAGGTATCACACGTTGGGTTGTTGGGAACTAAATTCAAGTCCTCTTCAAGAGCAGTAAAGCAGTAAGCATTCTTAACTGCCAGCCACCACTCCAGCCACCTCTTTATTCTTTTAAGATCTTTGGAGAGTCCTAAGAACTTCTAGAGTTGAAGATTTACAAGGTCTTCAAAAATAATTGACATTACATTATAAGTCTGTGATTATTTACTTTTCCACAAAATGTTTCATACAATTTTAAAAAGATATAAAAAACACTTTTGCATTTAAACAAACATCTTAAAATAGAAGGTAGGACTATAAAGCAGCATGAAAGCCCCGGAATCCAGAAACACTGTGGCATGTGAGGCGAAAGGCGCCACTGGGAGGCAAGGGAGCCTGGTTCTTGTTGTCATCTTGTATGCTGTGATCTTCAACTGGTCCCCAGTGTCTGCAGATAAGAGGCATCGTCGTGGACAGCAAAGGGTGAGGTCAGTCATCCTGACTGGCTTGTCCAGCTGTTCCATTGTAATGCCAGGAAATCAGAGTAACATATTTCAGGCTGTTTGCACTCAGAAGCTTGTTTATTTAATGTGAATGTGTGCCTGGAATATACATACACGAACCACATGTCTGCAAGTGCCCTCAGAGATCAGAAAAGAATGTCAGGACACCCTGGAACTGGAGTTTCAGTGTTAGCCCTCTGACAAGCGCTGGGAGCCGAGTCCAGGCCCACTGAAAGGACAAGTGCTCTTAATTACTGAGGCATCTTTTGCCACCACAGTGAGGGATTTTAGAGCCTATATTTAATGTATAGATTTAAATTTTCTGTTTTTATTTTAGACTTAAATTTTCTACTTTTAATCTTATTGTATGTATGTATGTATGTATTCCAGTCCCTAAGTTTGGACACTATTTAACTACCTCTGTATTTTTATTAAAACTCGAGAATGTACTTACCATTTCTTGTCTTTATTTTTTTTCAGCTTCCTTTTTCAATTTCTCCAAGACCTCTTCTGGAGTTGTAGAAGCCAAGAGCTTCACCACCTTTTCCCGAGATTTACCACCCTGAACCAGAAAGAAAAAGGCAACACTTAGCATGCTAATACTGCCAGGGCCAACAGACCTCCTTTGCTCTACTGCAGCATGTCATGGGGTGTTATGGGTGGCATCTCCCAATAGCCTAGTGTGGTGGTTTAAAAGAAAATGGCTCCTAAAAGGAGCAGTACTACTAGGAGGTGTGGCCTTGGAGGAAGTCACTGTGGGGAGGTTGTGAGGTCTCTCTTGCTCAAGCTTCACTCAGTGTGACACTCTGTCCACTTCCTGTCACCTTCTGTTCAAGAAGTAGCCAGCATCATGTCTCCCTGAACACTGCCATGCTCCCCATCATGATGATAATGAACTAAAACCTCTGAAATTGCAAGCCTCTACCTCAATTGAATGTTTTCCTTTGTAAGAGTTGCCATGGTCCTGGTGCCTCTTCACAGCAATAGAAACCCTAAGACATCTATCTAGACATACTCTCCCTTGCAACAGATTTGTGTGACTTTCCAGGGTTTCTGCCTTCCTACTTAAATTTTTATAATAAAAGTTTGGCATTAAAATTTCAATACTAATTTTTACAATATTCTAATTTCTAATTTCTTTTCTTTATTCTTTATATATTTATTTATGTTTTGTTTTTCAAGATAGTTTTTCTGTAGTTTTGGAGCCTGTCCTGGAGCAGACTCTGTAGATCAGACTGGCCTTGAACTCAGAGATTCACCTGTCTCTGCTTCCTAAATGCTGGGATTAAAGGTGTGTGCTACCACTGCCAGGCTTTTTTTTTTTTTTTTTCTTTCTTTCTTTAAGACAGGATCTCATGTGGCCCAGATTAGCTCAAACTCAATAAATAGCCAAGGATGAACCCGAACCCCTGATCCTTTCTGTCTGTCTCAAGTGCTGGGATTATAGGTACTTCCCACTCTCCCTGGCCAATATTTTAGTTTCAAGTAATTTGTTTGAATTACAAAAGAAAATAATTTAAAAATATTAAATATGACAACTCAGTATAAACTTTATAACACCTAAATATAAACAAATTCCTTTTTTCTAAATTGTTATACATGTCTGAAAATTTCAAACAAAAAGCAAACACACATCTAAGTACTATGATTTCACAATCAAATAAAACAACTCTTAGAGAGATTTACTTGAAACATGCCTTTTATAAAACACAGAATTTCAGCAGGGCTTTATTTAGAAGGAGTGTATATGCACACAGGAAGAGCGGCTCGTGCCTTTAGGCAACTGTCAGACCCGGTAAAGGAAGTGAACTGATCAGAGGGATTTTTAGGTGCAGATTATTAATCAAGTACTGATCAAGACTTTAAATATGATATGAACTACAGGGTATATACAGCACTTGACTACATGCAGAGCTTTAAGACATGAACTTGGCCTGCTCTCTTGCATACGGATTCTGTTTCAACATGTCTACAGAGATGCCAGGGCCTGTTTTAGGTCATTCTCTAATGATTCTGAAGTAAAACCAAGGTATTGACTTCATATAAACTTGTCTTCACTACAGACCCCCTAGTGAGCAGAGCCAGTGGGGGTCAGAAATGCTTGGCAAACTCCTTAACAGAGATGACAAACAGGAACCATTTTACTATATTCACTATGGTGATGCTGGAGGAACTGGACAAGACTAATCTGACAGTAAGTATAGTAGAATTTAGAAGGGAGGAAAATGCTACAAGTGAGCAAAATGAAGAACTGTAAGTAAAACGTGGCCAGTCTCAATATGACAGAGGCAGTGTGCATAAAACAGACCTTTGTGTTTAAATGAATAGGAGTTTTTAAAAACTGGCTTTATAAGACTGAAGAGATGGCTCAGTGGTTAAGAGCACTAGCTGCTCTTCCAGAGGACCCAGGTTCATTTCCCAATACCCACTTGGTGGCTCACAGCCATCTGTAACTCTAGTACTAGGGATATGACATGCTTTTGTGGGCTGAGGGCGCAGACACACATGTAGGCAAAACAGCCATACACATACATTTTTTTTAAAAACTGCCTTTACAAACAGAAAGTAAGAACTATGATCAGTATATGCTAATTTAAGAGAGAAAGACCCACCTTATCCAGAACCACATCACTCTTCCTGAGCTCTAAGACCTTGGAAAGATACCGACAGAGCTCTGCGTTTGCTTCTCCTTCCGATGGAGGGGCCGCGATTGCCACACCAACAGACTCAGTGGTCAGATCTGCAATGAAATGTCATGAACTTCGTCCTTAAGGGGAATCTCTCCCTCCATGGAGCAAGGAACTATCCAACAGTTTGCACGCACGGGACAGGCTTTCAGTTAACAACCGCTAACCAGTCTTTTGCACACAAACAAGGACTGAATCAAATAATTAAACTAATAGCCCAGGGAACGCACACCCACAAAAGAGAAAACCCTACTAACTGGACAGGTCCAGAGACCTAGAGAGCATCTTGGATTTAGGCAACTAGGAATTGCCTTGAAGGGAAAGCGCCCCAGGAAGGGAGCCGGAAGCTGGGCCCCACCAATGTCACAGAGGCAATGCGAGGACGAAGGTGTGCATTAGACACACAGGCTTTGGAGCTGCACATCAGGGAAAGCCACACACTAGGCTGGCTGGGTTCCTTTCTTTTGTGATATGTATCTTAAATGCCTCCAATATTCAACACACCTAACATTTATCTAACAATTACACTACCTTTAGGGGCACGTAAGTTTTCCTAAAGCATGTCATCCTAACGGTGCCGTTATCAGCCCCATTCTATAGGTGAGGCAAATGAAAACAAGTAATGTGTCCTGTAGCACTTACAGTTATAAGAGAACAGAGTAGTTACTCAAAGCAGTTTGCAAATGAGCCTGAGCTCTGGGGTCACTCAGCCATGTCCATACACTGTACCCTGTGAAACAACATGTCTATTCGTTCCACAAGAACGATGCAGTAAGATGGCTCAAGTGTCTTTTGCACCCAACCTCTCAGATGCAGTTTTTCATTCCAGCATCTTTCAAATCAAACATGCTTTACAATGGATAGAAGAGTTCAGTTGATCTACACAAATAGTCATGTTCCTTATAGCTGATGCCATCTTATATTTGCCTTAAAAAATACTGGCCAAAAGGTTGGGCTTATGGCACAAGCTTATAATCCTTGCACTTTGAGAGGCTGAGGCAGAAGGTAAGTTTGAGTCCAGCATAGGCTACACAGCAGTTCTTATCTGAAAACAAGAAAGAAAGAAAAAAACAAAAGAAGGAAGGGGAAAAGGAAGGAAGAGCTGGCCAAAGTATGGGCACCAGGTACAAGATAACATGGCCATTAGCACAAACCAGGCCTATCTAGCACTTGGGATTTGGTGTAGTATTTTCAAAATATACAAATACGGTACACAAAGCTTTGTCTTGAAAATAGAGACAATTTAGTTAAAACTTTAACCTTGCTTATGAATTAAGCAGGGTGTCAGAGCTTGGGTCTTCTCCCATTTTTCAGGTTAATGATCATTACACTACACCAAAGTATCACTCCTGTTACTGTCTCTAATTTTCAGAACAGGAAAAAACAAGGGTAGTCTAGCCTGTACATGTTTCCTTATGTGTGCCTTCCAAACATTTTGTTTAGAGATGGGGTCTTGTTTATATTACAAAAGTACTCATTAATTATGGGTACATGTAACCAGGCCACCTCCAAAGCACCACATCTTTAAAAGGGAAGAGATACAACGGTTTCCATCTAACTTGGTGTTAAATATTGCACATTTTGTTTCAAATATCTTTGTATGAAAATATAGGGTTTTTAAAATAGAGAAGCCTCTAAATCAGATATAAAATACCATGTATAGTCACAGGGTAGGCTGTCAGCTAACTCAGCAGAGAGAAGGTGAAGAGACAGCCTGATCCACATGAATCCCATCAGTGCTCAGATGTACCTGTCACAGCATTCTGTTTGGAGCCTGGTTTGGCATGGATGGCAATGGTAACACAACCTTTAGGATCAGTTGTCACAGGCCCAGCAGGAGGAAGTGGTGTCTCAGGTTCCTTGGTTTGGTTTTTACCCTAAAATGACACATAGAACTTTACAGGTTACAAAATATTTCATTACACTTTTACTTACCCATTACTACCCCTTGCCTTCACTAACTGGGCTACCATCCAGCAACTGGGCACCGAGGGGCTTTCCCCACATCCCTCAAGGACCCAGCCAACCTCCCATCAACCCAGTGTTTATACTGCCTTGGAAGGCCTGACTCTGGCCTCTGCACCTTTATGCAACTTTCTCCTGTTAGCTTTATAATTCATTTTCTCCACAAGAAGAGACTATTCATCACTTATTTATTTATTTATTTATTTATTTATTTATTTATTTGGTGTAGCCTAAAGCTAGCTCTGTGTGTGTGTATGTGTCCTGTTCAGATCTCATTCTGGCTAACTTAGAACCTGTTTCTATAGTCTGCTTTATAGTTCCTGTTCCTCGGAGAGTAGAACCATTTATTGGTCATGTTTACATCCAATGCATCCTAAAGCCCGGAGTGGGTGAGAGGGTGAGGGGTGGGTTGCAGAAAGAACAATAGTTCTGGCATTTAACATTTATGCCATGCTAGAAACTTTTTACTCATAAATTCCAAAGCAGTATGCCGATAGAGGGATACTCCCAGACTTCAAGGAGCTGGGATTACAACGCGAGAAAACCGTTGCTAAATGCACCAGTGAAGTCCATATACACGGGACATTTATTTCTACATGGAGAAGGGCAGCCAGGGTTGGGGAGGTGAGGAGGGTGCCAGCAGGTGGCGGTGTCTGAGCCGGGTCACTGAAAGGAGTTGGAGAAGGAAGATGTCAGGGAAGGGAGTGCTGTCTCCTTGACCAGAGGAAGGCAGAATGCACAGCATGCCGGGAAAAGCAGCCGTCAAAGTGCGGGAGCGAGGCAGAGGCCAGCAGGTGTGCAGTGGAGCCTAGGCTCGGTGGTCCTCAGGTGGGCTAATGTGCGCCCCTGGAGGCTCAGACCTGTAGCTGGTCTTTCACCCTCCAGGCGCTGCTTCTGTTCCCTGCTGGTGCAGCCCCGTGGCCTACCCTCTCCACACCATGGGACTTGCCACTGGCCTTGCTCGTCGCCCCGGCTTTCTTAGGCATCGTGGAACTAGACAGGACTCTAGCAGGAGCCGAAGCGCCGCGACCCACTACGAGCTGCAGCATCCCAAGCCCACAAGGCACCTCAGGCCTCCGCGCAGCGGAAGAGTCCTTTGCGCCTGCGCACGTCGAGGACGGAAGCGGCATGCGTATCCTGCCCTCATCTGAGAGCGCCACCTTGCGTCCGGATGGCGCAGGTTTTGTTCTTTTTGCAACCTGACTGCCTGGCCTGTGACCACGTGGCAAAGCAGTCACCTTTCCTTAGGGGTGGCAAAGATGGCCTTGTCGTTCGCTTGCCCCATCGTGGCAATTCTTAGAGTGCAGTGCGAAAGGAGATAAACTGTGAAATGGAATACGACCACTCGTGAGAGTGGAGCAGAGGCAAGTCAATACGAGTGCTTAAGTTAGGGACTGGCCTTGTCCAGTTATATTAGAATGTGTGGAGAATACATGCGCAGAGGTAGGAAGATGTCTGCCACCTAAACGGGAGATGGCTTGTAACCATTTGAGGATCTTTGGGTCCTGAATGGTCAGAGATGGTGAAAAGATCATACGTAGCAACTAAGACTTTAGATGCCCAAGTCTGGAGCTGGTGAATGGGTTGGCAGTTTGAGGTGAGTTTTTAGGGTAAATAAGTTTGAAATGATTGGAGACATCCAAATGGAATAGTTATGGAGCTACTTGAAAGACCTTTGCGGGTAACAGAGAACATATGGTAACAAAAAGGAAATGGATCATCAGACATTCCCAATGAATGTCATGCAGGTCCAGCACAGAGCAAGGGGCAGGGAGACAAGCCACGACTAACCACTAGCCAGAGAGTACAGTGTAATTGCAGCTAATGGAGATAGCTCCAAAGGGGAGCGGTCAGCTGACAGTTGTCACAAGAACAGTGAAATGAACAGGTGTTCATAGGTCTAGAAAATGAGTGGATAAATAGAAGTGTCTACATAATATTTTACACTTTGTTGTGATGTGACAGTTTTTTTTTTTTTTCCCTTTGAACCAGATAACTGCATTTGAAAGCATAGGAATGAGCTAGAAGAGGGTTCAGAAGCAGGAACTGGAGTTTATCTAGCCAGGGGTGGGGATATGCTGAAGGAAAGGACTAAGGGTCTGGAAAATGGCAGAGCTGTCTGTTAAACTCACCCAGTGGCATTGGTGTCAGAGGAAATCAAAATCCCAGGCTCCACTTATATCTGGATGATAAAACCCACTGTAAATCTTAGACTACTCCATTTTAAATTTGGTTAAAAAAATATTACTCCAGCTTAAAGTGTACAGCAAAAGTGAATGCTCTTGGTCACCCTGGGGCTGCTGTGGTCCCCTTATTAATATGTACTTTGTTCAATTTGGCCACAGTTCACATTTGAATGTGAGGACAAGAACTGAGACAGAAGGCAGAGGAAAACACTAACTAGCAAGGGAAGGGCAGTGAATGTTAAACATATTTCACATACCACATTTGATGGCCATACGCTTGTCCTATAAGCATTTAATTTTTTCATTTGAAAGTATATCTACCTAAAATTTTATGTGGACCTAAAATATAATTTTGAAAGTACAAACATTACATCTTAATTTGTTCAGTAGATAATAGGATAGCAGTGCTTTTGTAGGAATACTTTTAAATGTGTTGATATTCTACAGTAGGTAGTAGTCAAATTTTTTTTCTTTTTTGGTGTATCTAAAACACAATGCTTCAAAGTACAAATATTGTATCTTAATTTTTGGGTAGATTAGAATACAAATACTTTTGTAGGAATACTTTTAAATGTATTGATATTCTATAGTAGGTTTATCAGTGATATCTTTTATTATTACTTATTTTTTGAGACAGCATCTATGTAGTCCTGGAATTCATTCCGTAGAACAGGCTGATTTCAAATTCAGAGATCCATCTTTGTTTGGCTCCCAAATATTGGGATTAAAAATGTGCATCACAACTGCCAGCTCTTTTGGCAACTCAACCAAGTATTTTCCCTGCTCAATAGCTTGGGGTGTAAAGACTTCAAATTGTACCCAGTACCACTTAGTAACCTTTCTAAATTTTAATGTCTTTGCACTTTAGTGCAAAGGCCTGTACACAGTAATCTTCAGGCTGCAATGACTGGCACTTTGGCACTAGAGATGGAATTCAAGCCAGGTATCTTGCTCAAAATTCTATTGCTATGAAAAGACATGACCAGGGGAACTCATAAAAGAAAACACTTAATTGGGGCTGGCTTACAGTTCAAAGGTTTAATCCATTATTGTCATGGCAGGAAAAGTGGTAGCACTTTTCCTGGTGCTGGAGAGATAGCCGAGAGAGTTCTACATCTGGATCAGCAGGCAGCAGGAGAAAGACTATTAATAAAGTCAACCTTGAATCAGGGGGAGAGCCAGCAACTAGCTGATCAGAGTTAGTTGCAGAGAAGATGGTCATTTGGAAAGAGAAGAGGAAAAGGAAGGAAAGGCTAGGACTAGTGGTTTGGTTCAAGCTTTTTGGTTTTGGGATGAGTGAAGAGCAATGTCTCTTGCTGGGTCTCTGGCCAAAAAGCAAAGCTGGTTGCTTCTCAGCTTCTCTATCTGGCTTCCAAGTCACTGTTGGTAAATAGAATGACTTAGTTTAAACCTACATATTATGGCTATGACAGAGCCTGGGCCACGAGAATGGAAGGCCCTCCAAGCCTTGGCCTGATTGGCCAGAGGGGCAGAGGGGGTTGACTGTGGGGCCACAGACAATAATTAAAGGATCAGTAGATTCATGTACAGCCACTAGACCAGCAGAAAATTATCACCACACATTCTAATAGTGCCACTCTAATTGGCCTATGGGACTATTTTCATTCAAACCACATTAAGCAACTGCTGTACCTCTCAACTGTCCCTATTCTGTAGGTATGGATTAAAATTAGAAGCGTGTAAGAACTAAATTTTAATTAATTAGAACCTTTGGTCCAAAGTACTCTTGTATTCAACTTTTAGGGAAAAAAAAAAGTAGACAAAAAAAAAAAAAAAAAAAAAAAAAAAAAAAAAAAAAGGATAAATTTATTTTAAAGATTCCAGGTGATGTCCCAATGTCAGTGAGTGGCTCCGTTTCTTGTACCTTCCATTACAGTTGTTTGGTAAAAAGCAAGGCATATGGATGGCCCAAAGTCAAAAGCACTAACTTACCTCTGGAATGCAATACTTGTTAAAGAAGAAATACCTCCCCCAATGGTTACTACAGACTTTGCTAAACTTCAGTTTAGCAGAATCACACTTCAATGGGTATTCCAGCTAACTGAGGTTGACAATATAAGATCATGGTACCAGAGTAAACAAAAAACAGTTCCCTTTCTTCGGCAACTTCAAGAGACCTGGCCACCAACACATCACCTCCCTGCCCTCTTGAAAATACAAATTATTACTTTTGATAAAATCCTTTATATCCTATTTAGAAAAAAATCTTAAGCTGATACTTAGAAGAATTTTTAACAATTTTCCACAACTGATAGACTGATAGCCATTAAGTTTAATATATACAAGGTTTATTTTTTAATAAGACAATCATTTTCAAGGGGAAAATGTTATCTCGCTTGTATTTTAAAAATCCTCTTTATATAAAAATGTAGAATCATCACACTGCCAGATATCCTTCTGACCCACTCTTATAGATGTGCCAGTCACGTTAAGGTCACAAATATCAAGCATTTTGCTTCTTGGATAGAACTATGTAGGTGACAAAAGAAAAAAAAAAAAAAGCCTCCTTCTCTTTAAACAGGAGTAACTGGTTGGACAGATTTATGATTTCACAGTAGCTGTTAGGGACTTAGTATTTTATCCCTTCTTGCTGTGTAAAGTTACTGCAATGCTACAAGTGGTATCTGTAGGCACCTCCATCATCTCAACCATCTAGGAATTACTGGCAGCACCCATAACAGGCACAGTGAGATGGGAGTGATAAAGAATCCATCTCAGATCATCCCTGTAGATCTATTTATATCAATTATTATAAATTTACACAAATTCCACTTACAGCTTTAAAACACTTCTATGCAATACACTACTATACTATTACAAAATACCTGAAGTTTTTCTTGAATATTTTTTTGGGGGGGGGGCTTTCTTTTAGCATTATTACAAATGCTAACAACCAGATATTTCAAAACCCCAAATATAAAGTTAGTTTTCTTAATTTTCTGAAATTAGTTATTTGAGTTAAAAAGAGTTCTGTAGGAATACTGACCCATTTCACCTAACTTTCAAAATAGTAAAAACAAAAGATTTTTTTAAAAAGCACAAACACCCATATCTGCTACATATGACAAAAATCTTTCAATTCCCAAACTATTGAAAGATCACAAGTCAGCGGATCTATGGAATCACACAAGACAAAGCAGAAAGACTGTGGTTTTCACACAAACTAGTGGGTTCCCTCTGCCCCGAGGGTTACAAGACAATGGAAAATCTGTCTTTGAATCATGCAGATATTTAAATAAACAATAAACACTTTTACTTCCTCTAAGAAACTAAAATGTTTCTTGTTCTGTAATTATAAATACTCATGACACTCAAACTATTGTGGCCAGTTGTTTATGTTTTTGAGATTAGACTGAATGGTCGTTAACACTAAATTATGTATAAAATATTATTTCTGGTATTTGTCCATCTTCTATTGAAGTGCCATTATTATTGCCAGGGGAGCTGAAAAATAAGAAAACAGTCTTGCTTGCAGCAGGGGTCTCATGGACCACTTTCTTCAGCCCTTTTGTGCCGTAGTGAGAATCTGGACCCTAAATGAAAATAAATGGGTTAGTGATTAGCATCTGAAAGAAGCACTCAGCATGCTCTGATTTGACTACTGGTCTACCCCAGTCATTACAGAGCCAGTATAGAAAGAACTTCATTCAGTCATTTAATGACATATGAAGTTTCCGGTTAAATACAACTTAGAAACACCAATACGGAGTTAGGCCATTAGCAACTGTGGAAAGATCTTAAGGAAACACTTATTTATCTTTTGTGGAAAGTTCAATTCCTTTAACCAAAGGGGAAGTTCTTAGGAAGAACTTTTCTCTCAAAACAGTTTTAGGGCTGGGCAGCACTTAAAGCAGTGGAGTTTCTCAGCTCTACTTTCCTCTTCTCCTTTCTAAGAGACTCCCATATCAGTTACTCTGTAAAACATGGAAGCCAGGAGCCTCACAACAGAGTGCAGAGCGAGTACAGCCTAAGGAGCTGAGTGGCTCTTACCTTGAGTGTTGCGCATGCTGTGTAACATACATTGGGCAGGATCTCTATAGGTTCTTTGAACATGACCCTGAATGTGTTAGCAGTCCCATCACAACTAAATCCAGTATCATTTTGTCCCAAGGTTTGTTTTTTCTCATATTCAATGATCTGTGAGTTTTAAAAGACAAGTAACATGTAAGTTAAATTGTAACAGTCTTGTAGAAAAGAATATGAAGCCTTTAGAAGCTGATATAGACTGTAAACTTTCCATATTCTAATTTTTCTCTACTCATCTGGTTATCAAAGATGACTTTTTAAAGCAGTCAATAACCAGAAAATAGCTCTTTAATTCATGCATCACAGGAAGAATGTGGAAGGCATCAAGCAACAGGGACTAGGCTGCAGAAGAGGGCTTCCATACAAAAAGTAGATTGGTGTGTGAACTTAGAATGTGGACTTGAACCAGGCAGTGGTGGTGTACACCTTTAGTCCCATCACTTGGGAGGCAGAAACAGGCAAATCTCTGTGAGTCTGTGGCCAGTCTGGTTTACAAAGTGCGTTCCATGGCAGCCAGAGCTATACAGAGAAACCCTGTTTTCAGTGGGATGGGGGTGTGGACTTGAGATATCAACAGGAAAAAAATCTTTTCTCCTCATTTAGCCCATGTCTTATTCATAAGATAATCATCTCAACATTTTGCTTTGGTGTTTACTGAAATTAAAATGCCCTTAAATGCACTGCCATATCTGTGAATAATTTCAATTAGTTCTATCATATCAGTTTTAAGTGGTATAAGGGGACATTATAGGACACCCTGCAGGAGGGTCAAGCCAATAGAGGAGATATGCAGGCAGTGCTAGTTCAGAAGATAAAGAAGTTGGACAGAGAGGAAACTGCTTTTGTTAAAGGTTGTGAATCTTCATGGAGGATGGCCTAAAAAGCTCAAGTCAGGGCTTACTAAGTTACCAGGAGGTCTTCCCTACATGGGACAGTTCTCTCATAAGCTTGCTTGCCTTTCTGCCAACAGTCTAGGAAATGGGCAAAAGCCACCTAAAGCGAAGGTCAGAACAGTGGTTACTCGGGGGTGGGGGTGGGGGGACGGCAACACAGAAGGATCACAAAAAGTTCCAGGTGTGGTCTTATCCTGTCCCTTGACTAGACACTAGTTACATAGATGTGTACAGTCTATGAAAACTAAGCCATACATGCCAGTTACTAATATAACCTGCCCCACCTCCCTTTAAAGACAAGGTCTCAATAAGTAGCCCTAGCTGCACTGGTACACTCAAGGGCTGGGATTAAAGGTATGCACCACTATGCTCAATGAATATACTTTTCAAGTACCTACTACCAATTCAATAAAAAAAGGGGTCAGTCCTATAAAATTAAAATCTCTAGAGAATAGCATTACATACACTAAAGCTAGGTGCCATTATTAGCATGCATATTTATTTTCAACATCTTATATTGATTACCATCAATGTACACACTTGCTACTTCAATACTGCCATCCCATGGGATTTTGGAGAGAGCTGAGATTGAAGGAGGTAGGGACAGTCTTTGAGTGATGCCACTGCTACAGTTGACTACAAGGTTCAAAGTTTTTAATATTGAAGAGAATATAGTAGTGACTTTTATAAGGTATGTTTTTGCTTTGACAAAAGCTTGAAACATGTTTTACTTTCTTTCCTCATACTTTTGTACTTTACGTATAAAATATAGGCACGGTATTATATAGTTCATAAATAAAAGTATAACACTGGCGTGTTTTCAAAAATAATGTTACTTAACAGGGTTTGCAATCCAAAGGAGAACAATAGCTCATTGGGAAGGATGGAATAGAAGGTGTTTAACTTCAGAGCTCTATCTGAGAAGCAGAGCAGCATGGTGGCACACACCTATAGTCTCAGTATTAGAAAAAGAGTAGGAGGATGGTAAGTTCAGACCATCCTCGGATGCAAGACCCTGTCAAAATAAAACAAACACAGAAACAAAACAAAAGAAGAATGCAGATTTATTCTCCTGATTCTCCTGAATCAAAGAGTGTTCGAGGCAGTGTGAAGTAATACCACAGTTTCAAGGCACATGAAGGGCAAGAGGGTATTTTAAATCAATGAAACAGGAATTACTGTAAGGGTTTCCTGAACAAAAGTTAGCTGCAGGTATGTTAAGACTTTTGTAAAGGATCCCAATTTCCTGAAACCACAACTTTTACAACAACCACAAAACAGAAATGGTTTAAAATATGACTGCTGCTTCCTGATTCCTTTGACAAGAACAATGAAATTTGGGTTTTTGTCAAGACAGTATTTATTGCAAAGTTGCTACTATATCTCAAGATGATAACAGGAATGGAGCGTACCTGTATATTCACTTGATAATCCGTGGGCCCATGAATAGATCCATACAAACCAAATCCAACTACAGAGATTCTTCTGTTAACCGTGAACCTGTGAGAAAGGATCCCATTACAAAATAACATAAACAATTCTCTAAGTGTTCATATTCTGAAGGTTAGAGCTTGTTTAAAGTGTTGCCTGGATTTTATTTACAAAAAGAAAATTATTATAAAAGGCACTTTTGAAGATGTCTTTATTGCCCACAAATCCTAATGTGAACTGAAGAGGAACTCAAGTAGGATTTGTTGTGTACGGTCAAAAGACTGTAACCTGAACACCTGTTTTTATTATAATAGCTGGTTCTGTGTTGCACTCATCCAAATCTCCCTCATGAACATTCTAGTCATTAAGATCAAGGTCCCAAACTTGGAAGTTATCTGTTCTGCTAATACTTGCCAAGGGTCTATCATATTCAGTCACTGTGTCTGGCTTGTCAGGAAACAATGGTGAGCCAGGCAGTTTCTATCTTTGCCACATGGGAGACAGTGATAAATGAGAAGGGGTAAATAACTATAAATTGTGATAAGAGTCATAAATGCACTAAATTAACAGTTGGTGATAAATGGATAGAAAGAGGCACCAACTTACATTAGCGGATTTGAATAAAGGCTCCATATAATAATTAGCAAGTCTAGTTTGGTCACAATAGTCAATATTGGTCTATCTTACTCATTTATTCTATGTGTAAAAAATGACATTAAATACAAAGGCAACTGAAAAGACTGTTATTCATAATAATTATAATCTGTAATTCTCAGCATTTTCAGCTAACACTTTGATTATTCATACTACTATTGGCACACCACTACAGCTGTACTTCCTTATGTGCCAGTTCATTTGTTACTATAACCACTTCCTTTGAATAGCACAGCAGCCCTGCACATTAGTGAACTATCTATTTTTATTATCCTAAGTTTTTGTAGTCAAAGAAAAAAACTTTAGCCAGGCAGGACTACAACTACTTTCATGGTCCAAGCTACCCAAAAAGTCAAAGCAGGAGGAAAATTTGTGTTCACAAGATCAAGACCATCTGGACAACATAGTGGGAGAAAGAGAAGGTGCTGGGAAACAAAGGTCAAAGGTTGTGCTCACAGAGCACTAGGGAAGCCAGGAATATTAAACATTCAGGGTTGTTTGTCTTTTCAAAGAAAACAATGTATAACCTGTTTTCTGCCCAGAAGGTTGGGATTAGAGGTGGCTATTAGCCTAGATGATCTGGGTACTAATTGTAGAACATAGCAAGCTCCCACAAGCAGGACTGGAAATATTTAATACTCCAGATGACTGTTATTAGTGTTATTAGTATGACAAGGGGCTTCCCCAAGCTCTCACAACTAGGTCTGGAGGTGGCTAATAACCCAGATGACCTCTGCCCTACCTACATGACCTAGATCATACCAGATCTTCCCCTAGGCCCTTAAGATAACCCATGTAGCCTATCTACAGAACCCATCTTCATGGGAAGAAGTGGCATGTACTTTGAGAAGCATTTCAATGTAATTATGCCTCTCTGTGCACAGGGCCCTATGTTAATACCAGGAAACTTTCCCCCAGATTGTACTTTACTTGAACCAACACTGGCTACTGAGTTGTGTTGAACTGGATTTCTTTCTAGCCTCAAATGAAACATTTCTCTGCTGGCACTAGTTTGCAGAGGCCCCCACAAGAAGGGTGGGGAGAAAGAGGAAGAGAAGAAACAAGGGCTGAATGAAGATACGGAAGTTTACTTTTAAACTTCATGGTTATTTGGGACATAAAATTCTTTACAAACAATACTCTATCCCAGGTTTAGAGAGATCCACACCATCCTCATCTTTGTAGTATGTTCAAAGTTTCATTTATATAAATACCGCATGGGATCAGTAAGAATCCAACTCCGGTGACTAACCCTTCCTTCTTTCATTCCATTCTAAATGGTTTCTGACCTGTATAGTTGATCCACATTCCTTATAGAGTCACCATTCTTTTTCATATTTGAGCTGCTCTTATCTCTTTTAGAATAGGATTTATTATTCCAGATTAACTTTATATTTTGTTAGGCCACTCCTCTACTAAAAACATGTGACTTCTGAAAGAAACTTTCTAACATACTCAATTTAAAAAGTTAATTTATCCTTATTAAAGTGTGATTCAAGCCAAAGTTCTCTAGATTTACACAGAAGTACTATCTGCTGGACATTTTGGAGTTTAATCCTACTCTATTACAGTAATGTTCAATATAATAAACATACAATTTACTACAATATAATAAAATATAGATTTAAATTGTTACTCCATATTAACTCATTTTTTACATTTAAAATCTTGGGTTTTCCTATTGTGGCAGTATACATATAAACTATACCATGTTGGTCACTAAGTGTACAATTAAGTGGCATTAAGTACATTTACATCAATGTACAACCGTGACCACCGTTCATTTCTATAACTTAGGTGTTTTTATTGTAACAGTGTTTTGAATAATGTCAAATTCTCATTTTTTAAGTGGCAATTATTCTTCTATTAGTTCCAATCAGGTTTTTTAGTAGGGTTCTCTTCACCCTAAGTTTTAGGCATAAGGAGCCAGTGACACTACAATTTCTGTGACATACAGAACAAAGTCCTATAACTAAGAATCCCAAAATTCATGAAAGGAAATTTTTTTGTTTTGACTATAAGCTATAATTTTATTTTAGTGTAATTTTACTGATTTCCATAAAAGGCAAGTACCATTTCAGTAAAGAGACTTACAAATTTATTATTGCCATTGGTAATTATGTACATATTCATACACAAACACAAATTTATACACCTACATTGCATACGTCATATGTTAAAGACACACATAGACATCTCTATCTACCTTCCACTTAAATCCCATGAACAACTCATCCTACACTGTCATCTTCATTTTACAAAAGAGAATTGGACCAGTTCAGGCATCCAGTAAGTTGACCAAGGCTGCGACTAACAGATGCTTCACCTGGACCTATCCTTTAGATGCAGCCCACAAGTCTCCTGCACTGCACTGCACTGCACTGCCCTTACCTCTTCTGTCTCTGTAGGAAAGGTCAAACAGGAAGGTAGAGCTTCAGCTTGCCTGGGAACAGGCAACTAAAGTCTGGCAGAAAAGGACTAAAAAAACCTGAGTAATGATTTTAGAATTCAAAACAACTTTCAGCCAGTAGGTAAGTTCAGATATGGAAATACGAATACATAGAACTGACTCAATTTGCATGTAAAGTATCAACGTGCATTATTTGTAGCTGACACATATATGAATTCATATATATTGAGATGTACACTTCAGTTTGCTTGCTGGTGTTTTACCAAAAGTCTACATATTGAGGTACTAATTATACAATCAGCTTCATTATTTATCCTTAAATTTTTATTATCAGCTATATTTATTTCTTCTTTGTATTAATTATACTAGGCTATTTATCCCCCTCAAAAATGTGACACTATGAATTTCATTTCATATCAGTAAAGAAAGAAGTACAAAATATTTGCCTGGCAGTGGTGGTGTACTCCTGTAATCCCAGTACTTGGGAGGTAGAGAAAGGTGGATCTCTAGTACGTCTGAGGCCAATCTGACCTACAAAGTGAGTTCCTTGACAGCCAGGGCTGCTACACAGAAATATCCTGTCTCAAGAAAAAACATTTTTTTACTACTGAAAAACTAAGTTTCCTAGAGCTATGTACTAAGGTACAGCCAGAATTAGGGGAAAAGACCTCTTCCTTTCTGATTATGTAGGACTAATTTATGACTGCATCAATGACTACTGAAACTCAGCAAAGGTGGTAAGTATCTCTACCTGGAGTTTCAATTCCTAATTTCTCTTTAATGGTCAATCACTGTTAGTGAAATGTTTTCTAGACTTAATATATTAGTAGTTATCACCAGGTACAGAGATAAAAATTTACCAAAGGCACCCCTTCCCACCTGAGAGTCTTGCTATCTACAGGAACAGCTGTTTTCTTTAGTCTCCTACAGTGATGAGCTATATGTTAACACTGAGCTACTTCTCTCCAAATACATTGTATATGTTCTCAGCACTCTCCTGTTAAGGTGGAGTAGATCCAGAATATGTATATTATTCAACTCTTATCTGAATTTTGCTTCCTCCAGAAACTAATCATATGGTATTTCCTTCTTTCCGGGCTCAAGGAAACTGTGTTCCTTGAATATTTGATTAAAAACTCACCTGTAAAAACTTTGTGAATGGACAGTTCTCTGATAACTTAATTCTTCCCAGGGTAATTGGTCTACTCAGGCTTTCTTCTTCGGTCAATTTTGATAATTTATATTTGCCTATAAAATGATCCATTCCATCAAGATGTTCAATTTATTAGCACAGAGTAAACCCAGAATTAAAGTAAAAATTTTAGCATATGATAGTTACATTTTGATTTCTAAATAGGAATTTAAAGAGCTGCTTCTTCTAGGATGGTTTATTTTATTGATCTTTTAAGGAAAACAGATTATGAATTCATCAGTTTTTGTATTTTTAACTCACTGCTTTCTTCATTTGCCTATTTAATTTCTCTAGTGCTCTATGTTCATTTTCTACTTACTTAAATATTTAAATCATTTATCCTTACTCTTACTTGCTAAAAGCAGTTATTTTTTCTTTGTGTGCAGCTTTGGTCTCATCCTATATTAAACAAACTATAAATAAGATATTGGTTACTACCTCTCACAGGAGGATAAAGGCTAACCACCACCTTCCACCCTCCACCCACACGCAAGCCCACAGCCCACAGATACCTGATTCGATCACTTGTGCCACTGTAGCCCCAGCGGCTCTCTACTTGCTGGAATCTATTGATGCAGCACTCCTTTCCTCGGAGGCAGCAGCGTGGTCGATCGATGTATTCTACTCGGGGTTTAGGATTGACAGTAAAATGAAGGAAGAGGTTTACCACTTCACGATCTGACAAAATTCCAGACTGAGCAGGACCTGCAGAAACAGCAAATACACTTAGCGTATAAAATTTCAGCATACATTTGAAGTTTTGATAAGCCCCTTTGAGGCAAATCTGGAAGAATGTGTTAGGGTAAGTAAGACTTAGATGGATCTCCACCATAACAGAAGTAACTTTACTGTCTTCTCTTCTGAATACGACAGACTTCCATTCAGCAAAAGAAGCATTCTCTCCATCACAAATCATTTTCAGAACAGACAGGTACTGTGACCCTCCATCTCCCACTCCCTCCCTGTCTGAAGCTGTAATCTGAACACAGGATGTTTCAGCACAAAAAGACGAGGAACAAAGCTTTATTTCTGGGATTGAGAAACTGACAGAAGTGAGAACTATGGTTGGGAAACCTACAGAAATAGAAAACTACATAGTACAATTTCCCAAATGCCAAATACTTTAAATTTACCAGAATTAATGCTGCTCCCACATAAAAGAGGCCAGGAAACCCCTTGCAATGCCAATTGAGGCAATGGAGTAATTGTCATCAAAATACTAGAAAATTTGGATTAAGAAACCCACTGATTTTAAAACAGAGAAAAAAAAAAAAAAAAAAAAAATCTGGCTGGCCAGTGCCACATGCCCTTTAATCCCAGCACTCAGGAGACAGAGGCAAGTGGATCTCCGTGATTTCGAGGCCAGCTTGGTCTATAGAGTGAATGCCAGGACAGGTTCCAAAGCTACTCAGAGAAACCCTGTCTCGAAAACGCAAAACAAACAAGTAAAAAAGAAATAGAACTGAACCTATGAATGATGAAATGGGAGATGCAGCTGAAAATTTCCTCCAGACAGATTAAAAATTTACAGCTAAGGGCTGAGGAAATGTCTTAGTCTGTAAAGTTGAACCCCAGTACCTATGTAAGAAGCCAGGGATGGTAGGACCTACTTGCAAACCCAGCACATGGAGTGACATGTCTTTAATCCCAGCACTAAAGAGGTAGATACAGGAAGTGATATGGCTGGACGGAGAGAGGAATATAAAGCAGGGGGAGACAGGCCCTCATGGCAGTCTGAGGAGCAGTCAGTCTGAGGATGCAGTCTGAGAACAGGACTGCCCCTTTGGTCTGAGGTAGAGGTAAGAGCTAGTGCTGGCTGCTCTGCTTCTCTCATCTTTCAGATTTTCCTTCCCTAATATCTGACTCCAGGTTTTTATTATTAAGACCAAAGACAATTCATGCTATATTGGGGAGGCAAAGTCAGGCAGAGTCCAAGTGAGAAACTGTCTCAAAAAGAAGAAAACCAATGTAAACAGTCCCTAAGGAACAACACCCAAGGCTGACATCCGGGCCACCTGGCCTCTATGTATTTGTGCATAACATCACAACACACACACACACACACACACACACACACACACACACAGAGGTTAAAAATGTATGATAATTCAAGCCTATAGCAAGAGAATTTTCCTTGCTATAGAAAGTCTTCACTGGGTGATTGTCACACACATCTTTCATCCCAGTACTCAAGAGAAGAGCAGATGCAGGCAGATCTGAGTTTGAGGGCCAGCCTAGTCTACAAAGCGAGTGTCAGGACAGCCAGGGCTACACAGAGAAACACTGTCTTAGAAAAAACAAAAACAAAAAAAGAAAGTCTTCAGGTTGTGAAAAACATGTAATAGCTTAATGGCTTACAGAAGGTAAAATAGCATGCACTAAAATTAATAGAGGGTTCAATCAAAAAATTAAATGTCTGTTGTGCAAAAGTATACATCTAATACATCATCAACAATCCACTGGAAAGCAAAGATAATGTAAAGTCCTGGAAGTACCAGAAAAAAGGCATGTATCCCTCTAAAGAGGTAATAATAAGAAGGGAAGCCAAAGGGAAACAGGATTACATCTATAAAATAGATGAATAACTGCTAAACTAAAGTTGTAACCCAGAAACATATCCTTGAAATTGAAAGCAGGAAAAGATGTTTACAGATGAACACGGAAAAAAGAGTTAAGAGAATCTGACAGCTGAATACCGCTATAAGAAACACAAGTGTTTTTACATAAGAAATCTTAATTTGAAATTTTCAAGATTTAATTTGAAAATCTCGTAAGGAAACATTTGTGTGTTATCAAGTAACTCACTAAAAGAATAGTAAAAGATACTGATTACTCTTTAAAAGTGCTTTTCTTGCTTTCCACAAAAAAGAAAAACAAAAGAATGTTTAACAGGCAAATAGAAGACAACAAAATATCACTTGGTTTCTCAAAAAGGGGAAGAAAGAGGGAACAAATAAAATCCACCACAAAACTACACCTGAGTGAAGAACAAGTGGTAAAAAGGTAACTCAAATGTCCCAATGATCTACTAAACTTAACTCAAATGTGCCAGTATTAAATGTAATTCAAAAAATCAAATATTCCAAGCAAAAGATCATGCTTGTAGAATTGGATGCCTAAAAAAAAAAAATGCAACTTACAAGAACATCCTAATAAGCAAAGAATACAAGTCTGGAAAGATACAAGTCTGAAAAGATGGCTTAATATGTAACAGCACTTAAGTACTCTTGTAGAGATCCAGTTTGATTCCCAGCTCCCAGGCAACCAACACTATAGCCTCCCTGGGCAGCCATACTCATATGCACACACCTTCCACACATATCCAATTAAAAATAATAAAAGCAAATCTTTAGAAAATATGGAATACAAAAGCTTTTTTTAAAACATTGTAAAACTACATTAGTGTCAATAATGTAAAAAAAAGCTTTACTAGAATATATCATAAAGATAAAGGAATAAATCCAATAAAAGTAATTAAATTAGAACATTTAATGTACCTAATGAGCTCAAAATGTACAAAGAAAACATTTATGGAACCAAATGGGGACATATTTTCAACCAAAATCAAAAACTTGAACCTATTTCTTTTAGTAACTGACAGAACAAAAGGAGACAGTAGATACATGTTCCTATAATCACAGCTATGAAGAAAAAACTACCACAAAATTAAAATTGGATATTTTTGGTTGTTGTTGCTGCTGTTGGTTAAACACAATACCATGTATTATGCTGGAAAGTACTCCAAGGTTTAAGATGAAATAAATTCTTTCCTCCCCAAACTCCTTTTGGTTATGGTTTTTAATCACAGCAACAGAAAACAAACTACCACAATAACAATAGTTAAGAGGACATTTGTCATGTGAACAATCAGACTGAACTTAAGTGTCTTAACTTTGTTCTTCATTGTTAGAAGAACTCTGCTCTTTCACATTGGAAATCTGACAGGATAAACTAATGCTAACGATACCCATTCTCACCTTAGTAGATCTACTCTTATACACCCAATAAAAATATTTATAGGTACACCAAATGACATGTATATGAATGTTCTTTTTAATTTTTATATTTTATCCTATATGTACGACTGTTTTGGTCTGCATGTGTGTCTGCGCATCATGTGCATCCCTGCTGCCCAAAGAGAACAGAAGAAGGCATCAGGTCCCTTGGGACTACAGTTACAGACTGTTGGGAACTACCATGTGAGTGCTAGTCACACAACTAAAATTCAAAATCAGGGCTGTCTAATTTTAATCAGAAGTAGCACCAATAAAGGTCAAAAGGTTTGTCCCTATAACCTCAGGGTTTCTAGTTTACTTCCTAAGCTATAATATGTGGATGTTATCTTGAATAACATCTTGTGAGATGTTATCTTGTGAGAATTAAATGAAATTATACACAAACATTTTGTAACTAGTACTTAGGTAAGTCATAGATAGCTTCTACTTGCTTTGGAAATAGTTTCAAATTAGTGAATTATGAAATTATAGTCTTACCTGCTGCAAATTCCTCAATTGTCATCAGTGGGAACCGGATTAAGGAAAGTGCTTTTCCTAGAACTTTCTGTTTGTTTCCAAATGTCACAGGCAATTGCTGTCTCTGGCATTCTGCTTCTGCCCAACGTACAATAGCTCCAAAAAGTCGACTTTCTCGAATACTTAATGTGTCTCTTTCTAGAACTGCACAGAGTGTATCTACAGGAGAAATACAATAAGAACATTTTGCTCTTAATAAAGTGTTATTTATGTTGTTTTAAAAATTCACTAAAAAAAAAAAAGAAACCCACAAAAGCCAACAAAACTACAGATTCGATACTTAGAACAATTAATAAAAACTAGGATTTCCAGGTAAGATGGTGGATTAGCAGCATCTTCTGTGAAGTTCAGAGAAGGAAAGGAACCATGGTTTAAAAAAAAAAAAAAAAAAAAACCCTTTCATGTTTTTAAGAGTTGACAAAAAAGAATCAAGACTAAGATGATACCTCTGCAGAGCAGTAGCCAGGAGTGGCCAACATCTGGCTCCCACTGATCTGATCAGTAGTATTTGCCAGAGGAGTGCTCTTTCCTAGGGACACAGACACAGCAACAATAGTGACTGCAGAGTAGACATGATCAGGGGCTGGACACAGTGAGTGGAGAGACAGCCTGGGCAACACAGGCTGTGGGATAGAGGCAGAAGTGTAGCAGAGGAGCCTTATGCTGGGATTCTCCAGCAAAGCTCTGAGGTGCAAAGCCTGGAAGAAACCCCCTCACCATGCCTGAGACAGAAAGCAGCAAGAGCTTTGCTGAACTTGCTAAGTCTCCTCAAGAGGTAGGAAGAGGTCAGACACAAAGGTAATTAATCACTAGCTATGGCTAGTCTTCCATATCCTAGGCCTCAATCATAGGAAACCCCAAGCATGGAAAGAACAACTGATCTCTCAAATGTTATAACTAATTGGTGAGGTAGAAATGGAGTCTCTGGCAGAAAAGCCACCCCTCACAGCAAGGAACACCAACCTGCTTGAATGACTGAGACTATTAGTGTTCCCCCAACCTGTAGAGGCTGCTACAGAAGACATCAGATGGGAAGGAGAACCTATATTCATCCCAAGTGGAAATAAGTAATAATCACGGTCCTACTACTTTCAATTTCATTTTAGCGCTCACCATTATTCTTTATTTTACCTATTATATATGTTTCTACTTTGGTGTTGTTTTATCATCTATCTAGCCTGAACAGGCTTTTATCATTTCCAGTTTCACTGAGAGACCTGATTGAGAGAAGTGACTGAGAAACACAGACATTGACTTCTGAGAGACAGACAGGGAGGCATACATACATACATACATGCAGGCAAAACACTAATGCACAACAAATAAAATTTATTAGCAAAAACAGAAGACACAATGAGCTGGGCACGGTGGCCGTGCTCTGAAGGCAGGAGGATCACAAATTCAAGACCTGCCTGAACTATAAAGTGAGTCCCAAAATGGCCTGGCATACAGAGTGAGACCCTGCCTCAAAAAATGAACAAAGACTATTTAATCTCCTCAACTGAAAAAAAGACCCCTGGTCTAATTCATTATTAACGAGTTAAAAATAAACTGCAAGATGGAGTATGATACACCACATTTCACTGCTCTTGGCACAATGTAAATTTTGTAACTATTTTGTGTGTATGTTTGTATGTATGTATGTTAACACCACAGTGCATAGATGGCAGTCAGAACAACTCATGGGAGCTGGTTCTCTGATTCTACCGTATGTATCCGGGGGCTCAAACTCCAAACATCAGGCTTAGCAGCAAGTACTTTACCTGATGAGCTCTCTTGTTGGCCCAAGTTTATTTTGTTATATGTATGCAACAAAGAATCTTATTCCTAAACCAAAATTCTGAGACAGCAAATCTCTTTCCTCTGGAACACATGCTCAAACCCTAGAGAAGAAAAAAAAAAAAAATCCCTAAATCCAAGACAGCTATAAGAACTCCTAAAACCAGTGCCTTTTCCTCTCAGCTCCTATACTACCTCTAGAACTCCAAATTCAACAAGTATATATCAGACAAATTGGCCTATGGTATGGAAATAGGTGGAGGAACACATAGGTCCTTGTACTGGCAGATTTCTATTGGCAAGTGTTAAAAATTACAGCAGGGCCTAAAATGATAAAAGTGCAACAGATTATGATTCATAAACATAATACAATGGTATTAAATCAACAAATATCTATAGGTACTTAGCAAAGCACCCACACTTTAGGATTCCCAGGCTCTAATGGCATGAAAAATATAAAAACTATTTATAAAACAAATGCCACATGTAAAGTACACATGTAATGCAGGTAGTATGATTTCACAAGTAGTTGAAAAACAAATGGAGCACTTGACAGACCCTTAACAAGAAACAATTAAAACTAAACAATGCTTCATTAACAACTCAACAGTGTACTAGCCCTTGCCCTTCAGTAAAACACAATGTATAAATTCTTTCCAAGGCACTTGAGAAATGAACAGGTAAACTTGACAATGGATTGTTACACTAACTATAAAAGAGGAGTACACTCAATGTCCTGGAAAAGGGTAAGGTGTCAGACCTTTAATGATTCACAGTAGTGGTATAAGCTGATTAAGATAAAAGGATCATCCTGGCTTCCTGAGTGAAACTATACCAAGTGAAAAGGCATCGTCTTGAAGCTGATTAGGGTATTAACTCATGTACTATGTTCTGCTGTCTTTTGCATTAGAAATATAGTGGTAAACAAGATAAAGCCCCTGCCTTCAAGTTGATTGTCTAGGAGAGGGAAGCAGACAACTAACACTTGAAAAAAGAAAACAGGTCAGGCATGGTGGCACATGACTTTAATCCCAGTACTTGAGAGGCAGAGGTAGAGGCAGGTGGATCTCTGTAAACTTGAGACCAGCCCTGTCTACAGAGTGACTTCCAGAATAGCCAGGACTATACACAAAAAGAGATGATGAATACCTAATTAAGACTCTCAAATAGCAATAAATATGAGAAAACAAATCAGAGTAAAGGAACAATAATTTTGTTTAGGTATTTAGTTTAATTAAGTAGTTCTGACATAAGTCTGTCTCAGTTAACCTGTGGGCTGAGAAGCAGGTAGCCATATAAAGACACAAGGGAAAAGGATTCTAGTCCTTTGAAATATAATGAATTCTGCCCAATGTAAAAGGAACAGGAATGAACAAGAAGCAGAGATAGTCAGGTGTACTGAATTTGACCTGTCAACTACAATTCTGTTAACTTGTCCTAAAGTCAGGCAGATCTTGTGACTGAATTCTAGACAGTGAAATAAAGGACAACAAAAGAAGCAACTTCAGAGTTAAGTGTATTAATATGTGGTTATTTTCCCTCCCATCTGCTAGCAAGATACAGGCAGTAATCAGGTCCTGAGAGCTACCTACCCTGATGTCACATTCTGTGGTCCATGACATGAATGTAAAATGACCTTGCTTTTGTGTTTGATCCAGAATGCACTTTGGAGTGCATTATTAGAGCCTGGGAATCTTAAAGTGTGGGTGCTTTGCTAAGTACCTATAAATATTTGTTAATTTAACACCCACCATTGTATTATGTTTATGAATCATAATCTGTTGCCTTATCTATCTTGCCTTACACAGAACCTGATCTTCTAAGCTTTGTAAAAGGTTTGAATTATATTCTTACTGCAGCAGAAACAGAAGTAATACAACATGATTTTCCTATTTATGAAGATCATTCTGCACTATCAAATGAGAAAGAACCTGGGCTAACACTAGGCAGAGCAGGAGATAAGAAATGGTCAAATGTAGGGTTTGTTTTGAAGGTGGGATCATGGGTACCTAGTGGTGAGAATGCATGTGAAGCACAAATGAAAAAGAATAATCAAGATTAAGTTCTGGGTCTTAAGCTTCAGCAATCAGGTCTAAAATATATTAAAAACATTTAATTGTGACAGAGAGAAAGAATACAAAAATGTTTAGAGTATCAGACTTCTTGGTGAAGACTAAAAATAGCCAGAAGAGAACTGGAGTTCTAAACCAGGGAAGTGAAGTTAACAATTCTCTTTCAACTGTTCCGCATGAAATATCTTTAAAACAATCTACAAATAAAACAGACAACAGGGTATATGAGTTTCAATCCCAAAAGAGAGGGACTACAGACACATCATTCCAGTTCATGATAATTAAAAAAAAAAAAAAATTAATTTAAAACTATGGGAATTAGCTTTCTCTCCTCTCCTATAAAACAAAGTTCAAATTCTAAGCCCATCACTACAGGGTCCTCTAATACCTGGAACAATCTGCCAGTACTTCCCTGACTCCATACATACTTCACTGTCTCTAATGATTAATGTTGTCATCTTCACTACTCCAGAAATTTGTTTTTTTGTGGTGCTGGGGATGGAGAAAGGGCCTCAAGCATGCCAAGCAAGCAATCTACCACTAAGCCATCCCTAGTTCAAGTGCTATCCATTCCTTAAAGCTCATATCAGAACCTCTTTTGCCATAATTTCCCTAACACAAAAACAATCCCAATGTAAAGTAAATCTCCATTTTCTATAGTTGCCCAGTAACTGTTTTCTACAAGTCTGATGCCTACTTAGAAAGGCAAAAGTTACTGCTGCATGCTAGCTATTCCATTGACATGCTCAATCCTAATGTTCACATATTTTGCTCCCTGACATCTCTAATTAGTGATTATTTAACAAAACAAACACATTTTACCCTTCTTTTTTACTTGCTCTAGGACCACAGTCCAACCCTGTGAAAATGGTGAGCAATCTTAGTTGTGTGGTACATTTTCAAGTACACCACCAAGGTAGTTTGGACTTTCAGGTGTATTTTCACTAAAATGAAAGAACTCATAAGGAGGTATACCTTCACTTGTTTGGAGAAAACACTAATTTACACAGAGTTTTCCAACAAGGCTTACAAGGCACCACTGTATTTAAAATGCAAACATTGTGTTACTGGGAACTTACCTATGTCAATATCAGTAAAGCCTTCTGCACTTATTGCATCCATTGTGCTTTTGTCTATCGTGTCTAGACAAAGACTAGCCAGCTGAGGTTCATCAAATAACCGCGCCTACACATACAAACAAAGTCATCTTACTTTTCAGTTACTTTACCTGTAGGCTGTGCACATTCAAAGTTGTCAATGTAGACGATTGCAATTGCTAATTATGTAAAAATACTGACAATGAGAAATGGTAGGCTCAAGAATACTAATACAATAAATTCACATTATCAACATTCTTGCTACTTTTAATTTTCATATGCATATACATTACAGCCTATTTTCTTAGGCATTGCTTAGTATGATCCTGAACGAACTCTCTAGATTAGGTAATGCATACCAATTATTTGTCTAAGGTCATGTAGTTATATATGTTGCAGACAAGTATTTAAAATTTTAGTTTGACCATCGCCAATAACTAGGACATCAACTGTCAAGAATAAAAATAGATCACAGTTTTGTTGTTGTTTTAACATTTCCATTGTAGTATAAGAATTTTGTATGAGTGGTATAAGAATTTTAGAGCACCATTGATCTGAGCACCTAACTAATTAACCACACCAGAAATGACACCCATAACCTGACATGACTATGAAATCTTCACTTAATTTTAAATTTATTTTTTACAATCCAATCCCAGTTCCCCCTCCCTCCTCTCCTCCGGCTCCCCCCACTCCCCTCTACTCCCATCTGCTCCATGGAGAAGGTAAGGCCTCCCCTAGGAGGTCTACTAAGTCTGTCCCATCATCTCATTAAGGCAGGACCAATGCACCTCTCCACCCGACAATCCTGTGTCTAGGCTAGACAAGGTATCTGTCCATATAGAATGGGCTCCACTAAGTCAGTTTGTGCATTAGTGTTAGATCTTACTTGGATCCCCTGCCAAGGGCCTCATATACTGTCCCAGTCACACCATTGTCACCTATATTAAGGGGGTCTAGTTGGGTCATATGCAGGTTCCCCCTTTGTCAGACCTGAGTCAGTGATCTCTCACTAGCTCGGGTCAGCTGACTCTGGGTTTCCCCATCATGGTCTTGACTCCTTTGTTCATATTATCACTTGTCCCTCACTTCAACTGTACTCCAGCTTAACCCAATGGCTAGTTGTGGATTTCTGCATCTGCTTCCATCTGTTTCTGGAAGAGGGTTCAAGCTTCTCTGGGGAATGGATTGAAGGCTTGATATTAATTTATTTTTATTTTATGTGCACGACTGTTTTGTATGAATGCATATATGTGTACTGTGTGTGTGCTTGATGACTGCATAGACCAAAGAGCATTGGATCCCCTAGAACAAGAGTTACAGAAGGGTTAAAGACACCATTTGGTGCCAGAAACTGAACCTACATCTTCTATGAGAGCAGCAAATGCTGCCAAGCCATCTCTTTGGTCCCAGTAAAATTTATTTTGAAGGATTCAATAATTGATTTCTATGTGCACATATGTAGTATATATAAGCATATCGTGTGAGTATATGCCCACTCACATGCACACAGAGGCTAGGGGATGATGTCAAATGCTTTCCTCTATCACTCTACATGTCATTTCTTACAAACAGGGTCTCTCACCAAACCTGAAGCTCAACAGTTCAGCTAGGTTGGCTGACCATGAGTTTGTCTGTCCATTAATGTTGGTATTGGAGATGCACAATGACATGCACAGCTTTTACGTGATCTGAACGCATGTCCTCTTGACTTTACAACATTTCTCCAACCCAGATTCAGTAATTCAGATGCAGATGAATAACGTTATGGGAAAATTAGGAATTTTAAATTTATAGACTGTTTAAAGAATAGTGTGAGCAGTCATACCCTCAATGTATCCTATGTACAGATTATCTATCTAAAAGTTATCCACTGTACTTTATTTATTCTCTTTTCCCCATATAAACCTCTTCTCCATACACCATTTGTGAGGGAGTGAGCCATGGGAGTAAGCTACATATATTGAGTGCTTTTAAATTTCCTAAGAATAAGGATATTCTCACATTGGTTGATGTCAGTTTTGTAACTCTGACCTGGTCGGATTTTGTCCAGTCCTCAACCAGAGTTTGCACATTCTTAAAGAAAACTTAGTGAATTTTTTATAACATGAAACTCTATCAGATTGTTTTGTTTTTTGTTTTTCTGAGACAGGGTCTCTGTGTGTAGTTCTGGCTGTATTGGAACTCACTATATCATCATGGTTGGCCTCAAACTAACTGAAATCTGCCTCTTAAGTGCTAGGATTAAAGGCATGTGCCAAGAGGCCCAGCTTATCAACAGATATTTTATTTAATAGGCTAATCAGACCTATTTGATGTTCAAGCAAATCATAAATTTTTCAAGCTAAGAAAAGTAAGTTCTGTAGAAATTTTTGTGGTAGTAACTATGTGTTTGTTAATCCTTAAGATACTATGAGCAACAGTACCAAGTTCTGTATGGAATCTACTCTGCTACTTTGAGTAAAATAAAGATTCCCAGTATCTACTTTAGCACCATCTCTCATTTGTTGTATAAATCATGTAGAGTATGCTAACTATGTTTTAGAGTAAATCACTTTTGTAACAGGTCCAAGTTTGCATGAGCTGGTCTTCATGTAAGTCTTGTTCTCAGGCCAACAAGACCAAAAAAAATTTTTTTTAAATTTTGTTTTGTTTTGTCATTTTCCCTCCTGCTCCCTCACACTGACATGCTTGCTAATCAAAGTATGGTTCAGAATCACTGGGATCAACTGAAAGCCTATTAAAAACACAGATTCTCAGGCCCTACCTCAGACCTAATAAACTAGAATTTAATGTATCTTAATAGCCTGATTTTACTCTTGGTTTATAAATAACAGAATCTGAAATATAAAAGTTGTTATTTAGGCTAGGCAATGGTGGCACACACCTTTCCACTAGTGTGGCAAAGGCAGGCAGATCTCTAAGTTCCAGGTAGCTTTAGCAAGTCAGTACTACACAGAGAAATCCTGACCCTGTCTCAAAAAACAAAACAACAAAAGTTGTTAACCTGCTCTAATACATTAAACCTTCTTGAACAATAATCTTATTAATTTTAATATCAACTTCTTAAAATGAGGAAATAGCACATATTTGTTATATGGCTTTGGTTAAGACATTTCACCTCTGCCTCTGTATCTGACCATCTCTAGGATTGAACACATTGCTTTGCTCCTTCCCTAAGCCTCCTCAGACTTTCAGTTTCTTAATGGTAAATAAGTCTTCACTCTAAATAGCAACAGTTCACGAAGTTATAATAATGATTAAGTTGACATATGTAAAATACTAAGAAAGCTATCTGACTCAATAGCCATTATCTAATCATTCTGTTATTTTATTAGTTTAGTCTCTGGCATATGTGGATTTCTGAAATTATGTCAAGAGTGACACCAGTAAATTCCTTAAAGTACAAATATTTAATTAAAAAATCTGTTTTTAGAGCACCCAGTGTTTCCTACAGAATAAACAACTATAAAGATGAGCCCTGGCCCTAGCATCACACTTACTGTGAGGTTTTACACAGCAGTTAGTTAATTTGCCCAGATTTTAATCCTTATTTATAAAATGAGAATTGACCTAACAGTCACCAGTAATTATTTCTAGTACTAAAATTCAACAGGAACATACATTGTTTCACACAGTTGCAATATGTTGTTCAGGAAACTCTCAAACTTCTGAACTCAAAGTAATCTTCTTACTTTCCTGAGTGCTGTAACTACAGGAATGTACCATCCTGTCAGGAAGGATTTTATCTATCTATACCTACCTACCTACCTACCTACCTACCTACCTACCTATCTATCTATCTATGGGGTTTTCACAGCAGTGTTTCTCTGTGTAATAGTCCTAGCTGTCCTGAAACTCAGACCAGGCTGGCCTCAAACTCATTGAGATCTGCCTGCCTCTGCCTCCCAAGTGCTGGGATTAAAGGCATATGCCACCACTGCCCGGCCCACAAGATTTTATCAATTCATAATTTTAAAAATAGCTCATATAAAAATATTACCAAAGCTGCACACTTACAGTAGGTGTACTTTTCTGTATGGATTGTACTTAATATGGCACAAAAAGTGTTTCATATAACCCTAATACCATAACTGCTCCAATAATGGGCCAGAAAGCTTCCAGTCAAAAGCACATAAATAAGAAATAGTCAATTTTAGAACCTCTCTGAGTAAATACTCAATTTTTTATTTCAGATCCAGCAAAAATTAAAAACAAAGATGTCCAGAAAATTTCATTGTATCATACCTTCAATCATAGCAAGAATAATCTATTTTAGTGACATCTCAAATCCTAAATAGCTATCTAACCTAGTATCACATAACCCCACTTGTATAAGGCTTCAGTTTCTTTTCCTATGATTTAGCATATTAATTTTCATTTCTATTCTAAAAATCTTATAAATACATATCTTCCCTATTCAAAAATAACTACATACTTTAAAATAATGACCTAGAATTATCCAGGAAATATTAATATTTATATATAATTATGTTCCATTTTTATTGTTTTGTTGGTTGTTTTGAAACAGGGTTTTTCTGTGTAGCCTTGGCTGTTCTGGAACTTACTCTGCAGACCAACAAGGCTGGCCTCAAACTCAGACAGGCATAGTCCTTGTAAGCCTCACCATTGGAGACCTCTGGCAGCTGGGACCCCTTGAGGTTGGGCCTGACCCCTGAGTAGCTAGGGGCCAGGCCTCACCCCACCAAACTTCCCTCAGGACCCTACCTGTCCATTCCCAGGCCCGGGGCCACCCCACAGGAAAAACAAAACACAAAAAAACCAAACCAACAATCCCGAGTCTGCCCCAAGATTAGGCTACATAATCCCTCCAATCCCAGGCCACCCTGGAAAGCTTTCCCTCTCCCCCAAATAAACCGTATAGGAACTTTGTGTTTCATCCAATTCTCTGCTTTGTCTCACCCAAGCAGAGGCAGCCACTCTCCTGGGTCATTCCTTCCCAATAAATCTCTTACAAGGTTTGTTGTGCAGTGTGACTTTCTGGTATTCCTTGGCTCCTGACTGCTAGGATACCTTTCCATCCAAGCTAAATATGCACCACCTCACCCAGTTTATGATCAGTTTTTAAACTACTATTTTAACTATATTTACTTACCTGAGTAAGCAACATAAAGGCATTATCCGCCCTAAGATGTTTGGTGAGAAATTCTACACAGTGTGTTTCCAGGGCAGGGACTGCATATTTCTTAGCAGTATAAAGAGTGGTCATAACTGTTTCTGGCCCAATTTGAACTTCATCTGAATATAAAAATCTGAAAAGCAGTGAAAAAATTTAAATAGATGATCAGCATTGTTTTAGACAAGCAATCCATCAGAATTAAACTTTAATGAATAAACAAACAAAAAAAAAAAAAAACCCTGAAATTTACACAGGGTAAGACCAACCTGTATAGACATTGTATTCTTAATCATGAGAGGTACAAAGTATTTCTACTTTTAAAGGAGGTTAAGTAGTGCTCAGGAGACAGACACACAAACACATGTCCTATAACTGAAACTTTGGGCTCTTTTTAGCACTCCACAGATGCTTACAAGAACTAGTTCACTAATGTCTCACTCTGCAAAGGATAGTCATTTGAGTAAATCCACAGTAGGATGAGGTTTGCACTTCCAAATGTTCAAAGTCATTTATTTCTTGACAGCAGAACCTTTTTATTCTTTAGAACCTTTCACAGTCATTCCAGAATTAGCATAATGACCACAGATTAGAGTGCTGGGGCTTTAGAGGAATAAAATAATGTAATAATCCAGTTGGCATATCCATAAACTCAACCAAGTCTCTATTAATAATACATGTGAGAGAGGGAAAGATAAAACTGTGTAGGCTTCAGACAGTGATATCATTTACTTGATATGTGGCTGTAAGTAAATTATCACAGTTACTCTCCAAAGAGATGAAAATAGTAGTACCTATTTGTAATGCTGCAAAGAGAATGAGCACAAGCTAAAATAAAGCATCTTCAGTAGAGCCCAACAAAAATTAATCAGAGAAAATGTTAGCTTTTCCTCTGTATTCTGGAATATCTCTTTTCTCTTTTTTCTAGCCTTACCCCTCCCCCAATGACATTCAAATTTCTCCTACTTTGTTCCTGATTATTTGTTTTTCTTCCTTCCATAACTATGTCTTTGTTTTATGGACACAAAAACTTCCCTAAGTTTCCAAAACACTTAATAGGTATGTTTAGGTTTTCTTCTTTTCCCTCAAGTACATGCTTCCTTGAAAATTCATGTTCTGTTTATCTTTGTCTTTATCATTCACATTGTTTTCTATGTGTCAAGGGATCAATATCTCTAAGTTCAGTAGTTAGCAACTGTTGTGTTTACAGATAAAAACGTCTTGCAAACGAAAAAGACTGGATGGGAATTCCCAGTATGTGGAAGCTGTTGACCAGCATCTTGCCTTACAGTGGGAAGCCATGAGCCCTCATGCCATTATGAGAGCTTTACCCAGAGGTTCCAAAATCATACCAACAGTTCTATTGTTGTTGCCAGGCAGTTTGTTCAAATTTAGAGGAACCTTCAGTTTGTTATCAATCAGTACTTGGTTGAGGAACAGTATGTAAGTAGGCTTTAAAATTAATTATCTTTTTTTTTTTTTTTTTTTTTTTGGTTTCTCCAGGCAGGTTTTCTCTGTATTGCTTTGGGGCCCGTCCTGGAACTAGCTATGTAGACCAGGCTGGCCTCAAACTCACTGAAATCCACCTGCCTCTGCCTCCTGAGTGCTGGGACTAAAGGTTCACTACACTTTCTTTCCACCCTCTTTACTACCAGAACAGCTCCTGGCTCCACTGCAGCTCCTCCTAGGCTCTAGATTCAGCCACTCTCATTTTATCCACACAACTTCTAAGTACATTATCTGTTTTCTACACCTTGGCCAATCCTTTTCTTCTCTGTTCAATACTTAACAGGCACATTGTCTTTAACATTTCTTATCATTTTAATCAGGAGATGAGAGATGATGACACAAAGTTGATGTATGTGGTTCTATATCAATCTATGCTGGGTCTCCAATTTGAGCAGGCATGAAATATCTGTGAATATATTCTAGGTACAAAAAGAATTGTAGTTTAGATTATTCCAAATGTGATCCTTCACATTCAAATTGTTTTTATTAAAATTCCACTTTGGTAATAAGCTTTAGCTTATATCAAGGGACACAATCATTACTACATTAAATAATCATCTGTATCTAAAGCCATAGCTTGTAGACATTACTCATTATTATAATAATAGCCTCTTTGTAAGGGCACTTGAACTGGAACATCAGCTTCATTATTGCTCTCAGTACTAGAGTTACAGATCTCCTAAGCGTTTGTTTTTAAGTTTAGAAACACCATGAATTATTACTGCTCAAGCACGTTTCCTTTTTTACATTTGTTGCTAAGACAATTACAAATAAAAGCTGTGGCTTGATCACAACATACTTTTTTGTATTAGCCTTACTTAGTGCTATTTTAGTTTTTATCCTTGAATTTCTTGTACCATGCCTTAAATTTTTTTGAGAATGCAAGTTAAAGCAAATATTGGCTTGTGAACAGTAAGGGAATTTTCCCCTACAAGCAGCTGGCGTTGTGTGGGCACATTTTAACGAATGTACATTAACAGACTAGGCAAAAGTTTCTATCTAACTTCAACATGGGGGAAGGGGTGGTATTTTCATTTCTAAAAGAAAAGTTACTAAATATCTAAGAATCCTCTTGCTCATTTCATTTACATATTCTCTGAAATACATTTAATCATTAGAAGTTCTTTTTCTTTAAAGACTTATTTATAAAATTTTATGTGTGTGAGGCTGTTTGTGTACCACTTGATGCAAGAGCCTGCAAAGGCCAGAAGAGTCTCAGATCCCCTGCTAGTGAAGTTATAGGCAGTTATGAGTCGTCATGTGGGTTCTGGGAACCAAATCCTGGTGTCTACCAGAGCAGAAGTACTCCTAACCACTGAATTCTCTCTAGCCCACACTGGTAGAATCTTTATAACTAAAACTTAATCATGACATTATCATAATTCTCTGCATTTTAGTTATTAGTAAGCATGCATAACGTATGTGTGGGTGTGCATGCCACAGCATGCATGCAGAGGGAAAATAAACTTTGTGGAATTAGCTCTCTCCTTTAACCTATACATGCTCAATTCAAACTGTCAAGCCTGCACAGCAAGCACCATAATATAGGCCCAATTCTTTGTATTTTAAATTGACAGATGAAGGTCCCAGATACAACCTTTAAGAACAAGAGCAAAGAACAAAGAAATGATTGTGTGTCAAAGTATATCCATTTTCTTATCCCCCCACCCCAAAGATAGTCTCCAAAAAGGTTAAAAAAAAATCTAAGACTATATTTAATTAATTAATATATATATATAAATCCAACCCAGGTTATAGTGACTCACACCTTTAATCCCAGAACATATGAGACAAAGGCAGGAAGATCTCTGTGAGTTTGAGTCCAGCCTGGTCTACAGAGCTAGTTCCAGAACAGCCAGGACCATACAGAGAAACCCTGTCTTAAAAAACCAAAACAAAAAATATTTTTTGATATGTACGCAGTCAAATTTCAGGCCTTAAATTTCTCATCCTCAGGCCTCCACCTCCCAAATGCTGGGTGACATGTATGTCACCATCCCTGGCTAATTAAGATAATTTTATGCACGTGTGTAGGGTATAAGGGGAGTTCAACTTCCAAATACCATGCACTTCCTATGAAGGCAGGGTCTCTCAGTGCCTGAGCTCACTCACTGATCAGGCCAGGGAACCCCAGGGTCCTCCTGACTTAGCCTGCCCAGCACTGGGACTGCCAGTACATGCCTGCTATACCTGGCTTTTTGATGCATGGTTCTGGGAACCAGTTTAGGTCCTCCTGTTTACAAGACCAGCACTTTACCACTGAAATTGTTCCTCCAGCCTTGAATTTAAAATATTCTTTTTTTTTTTTTTTTGAGACAGGGTTTCTCTGTTTAGCTTTGTAGACCAAACTGGCCTCAAACTCAGAGTGGGATTAAAGGCGTGTGCCACCACTGCCTGGCTAAAATATTCTCCAGAGTGAAAACTTGACTTTAAATTAGGAGGGGAAATGTTACAAAATCACGTCTGAGGAACTGTGAGGGAACACATATATCATTAGGCATTGTGATAAATAACAGTTACAAAAAGGGTAAGATAGCTTGATAATGAAATAAACACACACACACACACACAAAGTTGGGTGGTGACTGCACACACTTTTAATCCCAGCACTCAGGAAGCAGAAGCAGGAGGATCTCTGTGAGCTTGAGGCCAGCCTGGTCTACAAGGAGTAATCCAGGCCAGCCAAAGCTACACTGAGAAAACTGTTTCAGGGAGAGGAAATAAAAAAGGAATGCCAGGCACTAATATACAATAATTAATCAATTTAAGATGCCCACATTAAATCATGCCTTCTAACATTAATATTGTTACATTCATCTTTGCTGGTTGACATGATTCCCATTCACTACTATTCATCAACAAATTGTAGCAGAGAAAGTATGCCAGTTTGGACCCTACACTCTAAGAATACCTGGCAGCTCCTACTTTTGTCCAAGAACTCAAGCTTGCTGAAATGACCAGCTAGAAAAGGCACATGAAAAGGAAAAATCTCAGACTATTTGAAAAATCCTCCATATGACCACAGCCTTAGATGCTATCTGAAATCAATTCATTAAACCTTAAAGATATGCCAAACGCACGCCCAGGTGATCCCATCACACCACACAGCTCTGAAGATAATGAAATGACTGTTTAAACCAACAGGTGTTGGAGTGGTTTGTTCTAGGGGAACATGTAACCAAAACACGCCGAGAGATTAAATGTGAACTAGTGTACAAATCTGCCCGCAGGGGAAGGAAACAGTGATTTAATCAAAAAAAAGTAAAGCCCAAAATTATTACCTGAAGTATAATAATTACTGTCTTTTAGGTAGAGGCAGAATAGTTAGAAAAGGCCTTGGAAGGCAGGCATTAAAATAAGAAAAACACCACCAGTAATTAGGTGGGGATACACCACAAAGGCCTTTGATACCTGTGAAGGATTAAACTTTATCCAACAGACAAAGATACCTAAATGATTCAGAGAAATCACATGGTGACATGATCGCTAGAATGAGAAATGTTAACAGACAGAAGTTTAAAGACAGTAGTTTGGTTAAAGAAATACAAGGGGAGAGGGGCAGAACACGCCAGCATGGTCCAAAAATGAGAAATGTGTGCAAAAGAAGAGTATCAAAACTAGAACTTTTGAAATCAAGGCCACAAGTCTCTACCCCAAGCAATCAATGAAGAGCTCATTAGTGTTTAGTTTACCCCTCCCCAGGGTCATCAATAGCTTACATTTTATCACAGCATCATGATTTCCATTTCATCCCATCCTCAGTACTATTTAACATAGCTGACCACTTTCCACAGCTGGAAAATTTTCCACTCTCGTCTTCTTTGACTCTCCAACACCTCCTGCCTCATGTCCCACCTCACCAACAGCTGCCTGTCTTGTTTCTTGCTCCCTTTCCCTCCTACACCTCTATGAGCTGCAAGATCTCCAGGTTCATCCTGGTATTTCTCACAATTTTCATTCAGTTATATTATTTAAATACCATTCATCCTTCCCTTTCTCTGATTCTACCCTCAGAACAACCAGAATTTGACCACTCTCATCACATTCACTACTCCCTGGCAGCTTACCATCATCTTATCTAAGTAGAATACAGCAAAACCTCTTTATTTATCACCCTGCTTCCCATTTAGGACCCCTGCCTAATCTCCAAATAACAGCCAGATGAGTTTTTAAGATGTAAACAGGATCATAGCACTCCAAGGAAAGAAAACCCTCTGCAAGCTTTCTCACATCCTAGATGAGAACCCAAGAGACCTTCCTCATTCTGTCAAAGCCCTACATGGCTTTTTTTTTTTTTTTTTTTTTTTAACCACTATCATCTTGTTCTCTGCACACCCCCTCCCCCCATTCTACTTAAACCACTTACTTAACTACTTACTTAAACCACACTTGTTTACTCTTGAAGGCAGGGGCAGGAAGATCTTTGAGTTAGAGGCCAGCCTGGTCTAGAGAGCAAGTTCCAGGACAGCCAGAGCTACACAGAGACACATTGTCTCAAAAAATGAAAACAAACAAACAAACAAAAAAAGCCAACAACAAAAACAAAAAACAATAAAAATACAGCTCAGCTTAATCTTCCAGTTCAACAAGCTCCACCAGACTTTGTAATCACACAGTATTAAGTATATTAATGTTTCAAAGCTAATTAATACCTAAGTAAAAATTAGCCTAGACATTCATTTCAGAATAGAAAAATGACCAGAACCTAAATGTCATGAAAACATGTTAATTTACTAAAAAAAAAAAAAAAAAAGAGGGGTTGGAGATTTAGCTCAGTGGTAGAGCACTTGCCTAGCAAGCACAAGGCCCTGGGTTCGGTCCTCAGCTGGGGGGGGGGGGGACGACAAAAAGACCAAAAAAAAAAAAAAAACACAAGGTAACTAAAAAACAAAAAATGAGAACTCAAATGAAATGGCACTATATATTTCAAGGGCTCTAAAATTAACTATTTGCTATTAAAACTGATGAGCATATTCAATGAAAATACAAATTAGAAACAAAAGTATGAAATAGTCCCCTCTATAATTTTATCCTCGCCCTAACAGTTTTAGATCAATAGTTCTCAAATTTAGCCAGTGTAAATATCACTTAGGAAAAATATTTAAAACACTTAAGGTTTCACCTCTAAACCCGATGCCAAAAGGAGAGATCTATAAACTTGACATCCAATGGCTCACTGGTATTTTTTCTTTCCTGGATGAGTAGGCAGGGACCCAGTGGCACACACAGGAGGCGGGAGGACAACAGGAGTTAGGTTCTCTCCTTTCTTCACGTGGGTGGCTCCAGGTCTAACTCAGGGCTTCATTGTGCCACCTCCCTGGACCTATCACTTTGTAAGATTTCTAAACTGCATATTTTAAACAAGCTAAATCCAGTCCTCCTTGTCAACTTCAAAACCCAAATGTCCCAGATCCCAACCTTGAGGCTGCATACCTACCCTCAAAAGTGAAAGTGAAGTAAAGCCTAGAAATATGAGAACAAAAAGAGAAAATGGTACTATCAGCTTTCCAATTCAACACATCTTGCATGGTATATTGCTTTTCCTTCTATCTTATCTCCAGGTACATAATGTATGTTCTATTCCTTTTCAGAAGTTACTATGTATGGTACTATGTATGGTGCACAAAATTCAAGATGCTAACATAAACATTCTTCACAGTATTACCCGGTTTTCACAAACATCAAGTGGACCTATCATTGTTTATTGAACTAGTTATTCCCTTGGCTTGACTCCTTTCCACATTGTTATGAAGAATGCTACTGCAGCTAATTTTTCGATAATGCTTCATAAGTGTGGAAAAGAAGTCTAAAGTGTTCAACTATTTTTCAAAGGCTTTGTATAAACATCTTTGTCAGGAAGTGTTTCTATAGTCACCTTTTAAGTTTTTGGTGGGCCAGCACTCAGGGGGCTTAAAGTAGGCGGATCTTTACGAGATGGAAGCCAGCTTGGTATACTTATTGAGGGCCAAGTCAGCCAAGCCTACATAATAGAACCCTGCCCCAGAAAATAAAACCCAAAACAAAACAAACAAAATGGTGGGGCTAATGAAAAGCAGAAAGAACTATACTATTTTAATTTGCCCTTCCTCATTTACTAATGAGGTTAAACATCCTTTAGTTGTACTTTCTATTTCCTATTTATATTGTCCTTTATCCATTCATTAATGGGATTGTAACATTTATTTCTAGTTGCTCCGTATTTCACTGCATAGGCATCTTCTTGATGAAGCTGTGAGCCTTTGTGGGCTCTTCTGTTCCGCTGATCTGCCTGTTTACGTCAGAATTACTCAAGAGTCTGCTATCTTAAAAACACACCACTGGGGCGGCCAAAACCATCTCAGTATAATGAAACACATATGGTCCTCTGGGAGCTGGCTCAGTTACTTTGGGCGAGTTGCTTTTCTGGGCCTCAGTCCCATTTGTAAAAATGGGGTAAACACCTCCCTAACAGGACTGTTGTGATTAAAAACTAATAGGCCGAAGTGATACTCTCATTAAAGAAAATTAATCAGCTATCAATCTCCTACCCCCAAATCATCAGAAAGCAAACAAACTCTGATCACCAGTAGCAGGGTTTGGGATACAGTAAATGTCATCTTGTCTGCAGAAACACGAAGCAGGTCAGCTAGTACTTGTTACAGCAATTACTTTCCGGGGTCTAGATAACGAATCGTCAAGAACCGGAAAACACCAGTCCTCCAAGACACCCCCCCCACCCCCGGCCTCCAAACAAAAACAAATCCTGCAAATGGGCAATCAGAACACCCTGCCTCGCTCGTCCACTTGACTCTGAAGCCCGGGCAACAATTCCCGCACTGGGATGTGACAGCGCAGGGATGGCTGTGACACCGGCTTTCACCGTAACGACTGGCCGGCCGACCTTCCGAACATCTCCGGCCGGGGAGGAACCGAGGGAGGCCGGAGTGCCTGGCCCAAGGTCACCCGGGAGTCGGCGCAGGCCCGGCCGGGGGCCGCCTCCCTCCAGGCCGCCGGCCACGGGCTCCGCGCGCCCGCCGCTCACCTCAGCAGCGCCAGGAAGGCGGCGGGCTCCACGTCCGGCAGCTCGATCTCGGCCGACGTCGTGGCCATGCCGCCGTTGAACATGGCGTCGAAGACCGCGCTGCCCGCCGCCAGGACGAAGCGGTGGGCGGGGATGCGCTGCGGGCCCCCGGCGGCTGCGGCGCCGCGGCCCTTGCCGAGCACGAAACGCACATCGCTCAGCAGCTCCGAGTTGAAGAGGAAGGCGAAGCGTTCCTTCAGCGACGCCTTGGTGGCCTGCCAGTTGTACAGCGGCTCCCGCTGCAGGGGCAGCAGCGGTCCGAGAGCGGACGGCGAGGGCGAGGGCGCGGGCGGCGGCGGCGGAGGGGCCGGAGGACCTAGCTCCGCCTCGGCTCCGGCCGCCGGCTCCCCTGCCGCGGCAGACCCGAGCGAGGCCATCCTCCCGCTGCGCGGCTCGGCTCACTGAGCGAGCAGCCGGCGCGCCGCCGCCATCGTCGAGCCGCCCCGAGGCCGGCGCCGCCCCCCTGCCTTCCGGGAAAGGCGCTTCCGGCCGCGCACCTCCGCCCTCCCGCAGGGCGGCGTTGCTGAGGCGGGAGGCGCGCGACCTCGGGAGGGCGGAGGCCGGGGCGCGCGGCCGAGAGCTCGCAGGCAGCCGCCCACCGCGCCTCCCCACGTTTCGGCGGGGTTCACCCTCCTTCTTCCTGTTTGCTGCGTCGCGAGGACGCGGCCCTAGCCCTCTTGGTGGAGGAGCTGGAAGTGGGGGACCTCGAGGGCATGGCAAGGGAGATTGTGGAGGGGAGACGCCCTGCTGTGCTCCAGGCGGGGTGGTGGCCCTGTCTCCTCCCCGATGCCTGCACCACCCTTGGACACCTCACTAGCAGAGCCGAGAGGCTAGGAACCCCACTGATCTCTCCCCAGATCTGCAGGTCCTTTACCCCTCCAGTCTGCCCAGGCTCTGCTGTGCTCTGAGAGCAGAGCGAGTTCCTCCTCCATTTCCATCTCTGTGGTAGAGGCTGCTCCTGCTCCGCCCTCTCTCCTAGGCCTTGTTTTCTGTTCCTATGCAGAACAAACGACCCTGTAAACCAGAACTGCTCCTGCCCATCCCAGCAATTTGGGAGGCCTAGGCAAGAAGATTGCTGAAAGAGGGAGCCCAGCCCAGCCCTGCCTTAACTCTTCTCCCTGAAAAACATGGGAAAGGCACTGACAGTTTGTGACTCTCCTTTCAGGGACAGTTTCTACGTGATTGTCGTTGTATGGGAGCCTTTCTTGAACCCCGAAGTAGTAAGTAGATCCCAAGATGAACCAGAAAATGATTCTTTTCTAGATGAGGCTAGTTGGAATAAAACCCGGTTTACAAATGTCAAATAATCAAAGAGTCCTAAATTTGGATTCTGTAGTGGGATTGGAAAACAAATTTAAGTTGATTCTTTGACAGCAAAAGCAAGATATCACAACAAACTTTTTTTATTTCCATATTTTAATAACCCGAAAAGCTCTACTATTAATTTTGGAACTGCCAAAGAGGTGAACTAGTCTGGTGAATGTGTACAGTTCGATGATCTATTGTAGGACTTTAGAAAGAGTTGCACTTGCCACCAAGCCTGATGACCTGAGTTGTAGCCAGGACCTGTAAGGTGGAAGGAAAGAACTGACTCCTGCGAGTTGTTCTTTGACCTCTGGATATACAGACCCACCCCATAATAAAGAAGTATAATTAAAAACATAAAGCTGGCCCCGTGGTGGTGGCGCATGCCTTTGATCCCAGCACTCGGGAGGCAGAGGCAGGCGGATCTCTGAGTTCGAGGCCAGCCTGGTCTACAAAGTGGCACATAGATAGGGAGGTAGATAGGTAGGTAGGCAGACAGACAGACAGATAAAGCTGAGTGTGGTGCTGTACACCTTTGATCCTATGAGGCAGGGGCTTACTGAACTCTGAGTTCCAGGTCATCGAGACTCTGTCTCTATAAATAAATAAATAAATAAATAAATAACCAACCCACAAGGCCAAAGAGATGGTTGGGCAGGTACAGGTTCTAAGACTAAAGACCTGAATTCCATCCCAGGAGAGGCAGACCTGTTGTCCTCTGACCTCCACAACCACAGTGGTACTCCAGCATATGTACATACCTACAGTCACACAAAAATAAGTAATTGAAAATAACTATAAAGAGGGAGGGGCACAGTGTCCAATACCTTTAAATTCAGAACTAGAGAGACAGAGGTCTCTTATGAATTCCTGGCTGAACCTGGTCTACAAAGTAAGTTAACAGCCAGCCATGGATACTGAGTGAGACCCTTTCTCAAAAAAACAAAACAAAACAAAAACACAGCCCATAATAAGATTAGTTCCTGTCAGGTCCAAAGTCCCCCTTTTCCCAAACAGAAGGATTTGGGGTAAACAGGGTTGCTGTTGGGTAAACAAGCCAACATTTTCCAATGACTAGAAAAGCACATCTCTTAAGGCAGCTGCCATTCACCAAGAATTTCCTTTAATCCCTGCAGGAACCTGCCAGTAGGTGGTGACCCAGACCTTTAGTCCCAGACCTTTAGTGGCAGAGGCAGGGCCAGCCTGGTCTACAGAGTGAGTTCTAGGACAGCCAGGGCTACACAGAGAAACCCTTCCTGAAGGGGGGGTGGCCCTCCAGAAACCTCCCTTAATCTTTTCCCAGAGGTCAACTACATTAGGCAACAGGCACCTAATTCCCAACCAATCCAGACAGCCTTCATCATCTCAGATTCCCCACCCTGCTGACTGTTACTTAAAAATCCCCTTGCTTAAACAAGCTAAAATAAGCTGTTAGCTGGAGGGGCTTCTGCACAATCAGGCAATTTAACAGACGCTAAATTATCCAGGACATCGTGACCTTTGTTTCCTAAAATAGTTTGGTAATTTTCCATTGGATGCTTCATCAAGGAGATCAAATTCTAGTTAAAACTGAAATGGCCTTAGCAAGAATACAAGATGGGGGGGGGGGGCTGGAGAAGATGGCTCAGTGGTTAAGAGCACTGGCCGCTCTTACAGAGGACCCAGGTTCAATTCCCAGCACCCACATGGCAGCTCACAATTGTCTACAGTTCCAAGATCTGACACCCTCACACAGAGATACACACCAATGCACATAAAATAAAAATGAGTAATTAAAAAAAAAAAAAACAAGATGGAGGAACCTTTATACTGTCTCATCCTGTCACAATGTAGCAATCCACTTTTGGCTCACTCTCCCACCCTCTACTATACAAATATGAAAAATATATAAAAGAACTGTGTAAGGGCATGGCTAAAAGAAAGATTATTCTGATATGTAATGAAACAGAAAGGAAGACTTTTGTTAAGATTGGTACAATGGGGCCTTGCAACAAAAGAGAGAAGCCGGATTCATCTGTGACTTTAACAAAGCTAGCAAGGGATTTGTGACTAAAAACCAAAGTCAACAGATGGAGACGTTTAAGAGGACACAGGCAGGCTAGGAGGATTGCTGCAAAGAGTTGGAAGGATGTTTGCTAAGACTGGATTAGATACACCCAAGGCAGGAGGACATGGGCCTTCGTTGAAGCCTTGAACTTCCTACCTGCACCACCCCACCCTCACCCCCTTTTCTTTTTTTCTATTTCTTTTTTCTTTTTTTGTTTTGTTTTGTTTTGTTTTTGTTTTTTGGCAGGGTTTCTCTGCATTGTTTTGGAGCCTGTCCTGGAACTTGCTTGGTAGACCAGGCTGGCCTCGAACTCAGAAATCCGTCTGCCTCTGCCTCCTGAGTGAGGGGATTAAAGGTGTGCACTTCCAACGCCCGGCTTCCTCACCCCCTTTTTCTTGTAGTTGGAAGATTGAACTTGGGCCTTATGCATGCTATACAAATACTCTACCAACTGATTTACATCCCTCACTTCCCAATATTTTTACTATAGTAAATATTATCATTTATGTTATTTATATTATAAAATAAAATTTTTGTTATATTATAAATAATAATACATTATTTTATCTATTATAGGAATATAAAACAGAAAAAGCATCCTCACTGTGGTGGTTTGAAAGAAAATGCCCCAAAGGGAGTGGCACTATCAGGAGGTGTGGCCTTGTTGGAGGAAGTGAGTTACTGTGTCACTGTGGGGGTGGGCTTTGAGGTCTCTATTGCTCAAGCTTCCCTCAGTGTGACTGTTAGTTGACTTCCTATTGCCTGCAAGATGTAGGACACTCAATTATTCCTCCAATACCATGTCTGCCTGCATGCCACCATACTCTCAACATGATGATAATGGTATGGTCATGGTGTCTCTTCACAGCAATAGAAACCCTAACTAAGACACTCACCTTGACAAAGGGCATAAAGAAAATTCTCAATTACCTCGTAGGATGGGTAAGACAAAGATATCATCTGCTTTTACTGCATTATGCAACATTGTACTGGGGATTTGGCCAGGCCAATTAGTCAAGAGGAAACTGTCTACATTTGTCTTACATGTACCCTAAAGACTGGCTGGGCATGGTGGTACGTGCTGTAACTTAATAGTCTGAGGTAGAATGATTGTCAGCTCAAGACCAGCATGAACTACATAGCACAGCAAGTCCCAGGCCAGTATGGGCTACACACCTAGGCCTCTCAACACAATAAAGGAAGAAGGGAGGGGGAGGGCAGCAAAGAAGGAATACAGGAGCTCTTATGCAAAATATATGAACAAAGCACAAGTATGAAAACTTAGAGATAACAAGTTCAAGATTCCAAGATATAAGTCTATGGAAAAATCAATTATACTTCTGTATGTGAGCAATGTATAATATCAAAGGAAATTAGGAAAATAATTTTGCTACGAAGATGGGTCAGTCAGTAAAGTGCCTTGAAAGCCAGGGGATCTGAATACTAGCCTCAGAACTCACATAATACTCATCAAGAGAGAACTGGTTAAACTATACTTACTCATATAATCCACTAGAGTCACCTAAAAAAATGAGAATTGTAGGAGGCATGGAGGTCTTTGTGCTCACAGGTGAGCACTAGGGGAATCTGAAATGTTAAATACACAGGGGTGTTCCTTCAAAGGAAGGAATGCACAATCTCTTATTGCCCAGAAGCCTGGGAACAGATGTGGTTATTGCCTGGTGACCTGTGTGCTCTCTGTGTGGTCCGAGACCACACTGCACCCTCCCACAGACCCTTACCAATATGTACCCTAATAATGTACCCTAATAATAGGGTACAATTATGTACCCTAATAATAGATTTCTCTACTGAGGCAGTAAGCCAGATCACGCTGAATGAAAAAGTAAAAGAACTGTTTATTTGAGCCAAGTAACTCCTGCATGGATTCTCCAGCACCAGAGATCTAGCAGGAGAAGTCTCATGCCTGAACTAAAGCAGGGAGATTATATAGTCTGTAGACAAGGGGTGATGACATATATATCCTAAGTTGGGTTTTTGTACAAGTATGGTCAAAAGCTGGAATAGTTAGGCAGGGACTTGAGCTACTGGCAACTTCAGGGAGATGCTACCTTAGCACCAAGAATGCAGAACTGGGCGTTTTGGTGCCTTCCCTTTGTC